CACAGCTATCAACAACTGAATCTAAAAAACAAAAACAAAAACTAAGCAACAAAGTAGAATGGGAACAAAATCATAGATATAGAGATCATTTGGAGGTTTATCAGTGGGGAAGGGGGAGAATTGGGAAAAAGGTACAGGGGTTAAGAAGCATAATTGGTAGGTACAAAATAGACATGGGGATGTTAAGAAAAGTATAGGAAATGGAGAAGACAAAGAATTTATATGCACAACCCACAGACATGAACTAAGAGGGGACACTGCTGGAGGGAAGAGGGGTACTGGGAGGAGGCAGGCAAAGAGGGAAAAATTAGGACAACTGTAATAGCACAATCAATAAAATGTAGTTAAAAAAAAAAAACAGATGCGTTTCTAAAACACTCACGTAGCAAGGGAAGCCTATACTACTAGGGGTCTGCCCTTCAGAAGATTATTCTGGGTTTTTTTGGCTCCCCACTCAAATAAGCCAGTGAAATAGAATTGCAAATCCAAAAGTAAACCCCTATATCTATAGTGAACTGATTTTTTTACAAGAAGGCCAAGGCCATTCAATGAGGGAAAGAATTAAGTTTTTCAACTAATGGTGCTGGGATAACTTGATAGCCACACACAAAGAGAAGCTGGACTCGTACCTTACACCATATACAAACATTAACTCAAAATGAATCAAAATGGATTACCTGAACATAAGAACTCAAACTATAAAACTCTTAGATTACAACATAGGGAAAATCTCATAAACTTGGTTTTGGCAAATGATTCTTAGATATAACACAAAAAGCATGAGCAACAAAAGAAAAAGTGAATGAATTAGACTTCATAAAAATTAAAATGCTTTTATGCTTCAAAGGACACCATTAAGAAAATGAAAACGCAACCCACAGAATATGTTTGCAAATCATGTATCTGCTAAAGGACTTATATTTAGATTATATATAGAGCTCTTATAACCCATTAATAAAAACAGCCAAACTTAAAAATGGAAAAAGGATCTGAAGAAACATTTCTCCAAAGAAAATATACAAATCACCAATAAACGCATAAAAAGATGCTTAGCATCATGAGTCATCAGAGAAATTCAACTCAAAACCTCAATGAGATACCTCTTCATACCCACTAGGATTTGGAAAGCAGTCTGGTAGTTCCTTAAGTGATTAAACACAGAGCCGCTATACGACCCATCAATTCCCTCATAGGTATACCCAAGAGAAATGAAAACATGCCTGTACAGAGTTGCATACAAATGTTTATACTAACATTACTCATAATAACCAAAAAGCGAAAACAACCCAAATGCCCATCATCTGTCAAATGGATAAACAAAATATAGTCTATCCATACAATGGGATATTATTCAGCCATAAAAAGAAAAAAGTTCCAGATATATGCTACAATAGGGATGAAACTTGAAAACATTATGCTAAGTGAAGAAGCCAGACACAGAAGCCACACATTGCATGATTCCATTTATGTAAAATGCCCAGAATAGACAAATACATAGAGACAGAAAGTAGATTAGTGATTGCTTAGGGCTGGGAGAAATGGGAGAGAGGGATAGGAGGTAAGGGATGATAGTTAAGGGCACAGAGTTTCTTTTTATGGTGATTAAAACATTAAAAAATGTGGTGAAGGTTGTACATATACGTGAATATTCTGAAAACCATTGAACTGTACACATCAAGAGGGTGAATTGTACAATATGTGAATTATATCACAATAAAATGGTTCAAGCAAGAGGAAGGGAGAGTCCTCCTTAGGTATCAGGCCTAAGCCATGTGGTGCAGGCCAGTTAACCACCTCTGCGCTAGGGGTGAGGAACAATAGCCAAGGCAGTAATAAAGTGGCCACTGTTTTCATTTTCTATCGTTCTTTATTTCTCACAGGGCAGAGTGTCCATGGTTCAGGCAGGATTGGGTGTTCACATATAAACCGACTGTACTACTGTTTTAATACCATCAAAACCTTACCTAATATACCCAACATGCATAAATCTCTAAACATTACGCCGAGCAAAAAACAACAGAGCCGAAGAACCCTAGTCCATGTAGTTCCATTTATATAGAGTTCTAGAACAGGCAAGCTATCTATGGTGAAAAAAGTAAACCATGCCTGTGGTTGCTTTTTGGGGGCGGGGACTGACTGGGAAGGGGCATGAAGGAACTTTCTGGGGTGTTGGAAATGTTCCCTATCTTGATAGGGGTTTGAGTTGCACTAGTTTTTGCATTTATAAAAACCCATGGAATGATACTATTAAGATCTGTACATTTCTATGTATGTAATTTTACTTCAAAAAAAAAAAAAAACAAAAAACAAACCACAAACAACATTGACCCCTAGTCAATGATCGGCATGCTGAACTGTTTGCGCATGATGTGCACTGATGATTACAACCTGCTTTGAGATGTGCTAAACGTAAGCTGAATTGAGAGATGGATAAATACGTGAGCAAGTAAATAAAACAAAATGTTAACAACTGGAGAAACTAGGTGGTAGATATATGATTGTTCACTGTATAAAATCCTTCAACTTTTCTAAGTATTTGAAATTTTTTATTAAAGAAAATACTGGGAACTGCAAACAAAAATCTTACGCCAATGTGAAATAGATGCCTAGAACTATCTGATGAACCACGGACCTCTTCTCAGAGGCAAACATTTCAACAGAAACAAAATGTGGTTTCTAATGAACTTCCTAAAGAACTAATGGCTTAATGGCTTTCTAGATGTAGACGATGGGCAAGGAATCAAAGGCAGTTTGGAGAATACAGGGAAAGTATTAGTAAGAGAACGATGATGAAATTATAACTGAAAATTGACATATTTAACTATATGGGCATGTTTCTGTTACAGATTTTAGTGGTTCCTTTATCTGGCTGTCTTGTTCATTTAGCCTGCAATGGCTAAATGGTTAAGCCTCCTGTGGCTGCTTCTTTCCTCACAGAGCAAGACTCATTCTCTCTGGCCCTCGTCCTCCTCAGTCCTGGGGCCCACAGCAGCCCTCCACCCCGGGGCTGAGGAGCTTGGGGAAACTCAACAGGTGTGGGGTGACTGACAGCACCCTCAGCCCCCAGGAAGGTGGTCTGCAAGGGTCCTCAGAGGGCACCTGACCTGCCCTCCTGTGGACACAGCTGCCTCCACAGCAGCAGTCCTGACACGTCTCGTTTCTGAAAAAAATGAGTCTATCTTATTGGACAAGAGGTGTTTTCCCCCAGTGGAAGAAGAGAGGCTGAGAGCAAGAGCTGGAGCAAGAGGGAGACACACACACACACAGAAATAAAGTCAGTGGCACAAGGTGAGAACAAGAAGGCAGTGGGGGTGCTAACAGTGGTAGAGGGGGAGTGGGAGCTGCAGATGCTAGAGAAAGAGAGGGAAAGAAGGAAAGAAAAGCAAATCACGGCAAACAAGCAGAAGTGGGTGGCCTTTGCATCTCCAAGCAAAGGCTCCGCACGACACTTTTCTCAGCTGAGGATGACCCTAGCCTCTGAGCATGCTGGCAGAGCTCAACGCTATACCTAGGTTTGCTTTTCTGCACCCGTGACCCAGGCCTGACCCAATGCCTCCCTCTCTGGCCACAGTGATTGGTTCTTGCCTTGGAGTGTGACTCAAGGCAGTCCAGTGAGACTCCGCCCCAGGGGCTGTCTTGGAACCATTATAAAAAGGGAGCTCTTTCTACTGGGACTTTGTATAAAAGGATGATGAAAGTCTGAAGCTGCCAGAGACCATCACACAGGGAGACCCTACTTGAGAATGAAGCCATCACAAAAGGAAGTAGAATTGGAAGATGGAGGCAAATCCCTGATAAGATCCACTCAGCTCCTGGGTCTAGCTGTGCCTGAAATCACACCTACCCTGAAAGTTTCAGGCATATAAACTGAGTCTCTTTTAAGCTTAAGTCAGTTTGAGTTGGAGGTTCTGTCATTAGCAATTGAAGCCGTTCTACCAGAATGTGAAAACCCACCTATCAGTCTTGCTTCTTTCACCAGCTCCCAGAAACCACACCTGAGTACACACCCAGCTCTCCTGACATATATGGTGGCCAACAGGGCCAGGGACTGTCCCACAAGAGAAGCACAAAGGTTACTAAGAGAACTGCTACATAATGATTTTCAAAGAGTGAAACCATCACAGAGAGAAAGGAGGGCTGCGCTTAACTCTGCTGGGCTGCGCTGTGACTTTCACAGACCCTCTGCACTTCTGCTGGCGTGGGTTTCTTCCTCCATTAAAAAAAAGTTAAAAATTATATTTTACAACTGTATTGGTATAAAGATGACTATAACCCTGGATGGGTCATAGTCATTTTTTTTCTCCTTACTTTAAAAGAAATTAAAACATTTTAAAGTATCATAGGTCCTGGGCACTGTGCTTACTCTGCCTAATGGATATGTGGGCCCTGGGTCCATATTGTCCAGACTGCTTATCTGCACAGTTGAGGTTCCCTCGAGACTAACCTGGCTAGTCCAGGCCGGGTGGAAGGGCCCAATGCGTCCCTCAGAGCCCGGGCTGGCCTTTCCCCTCTCTCCCTCCTCTTCCCTCGCTCATCCCTGTTAGGCTTCCTATATTGGCATCACCACACCGGGGCACATCTGCTGTCTGGCATTATCATTCTGATCATAGGGAGCTGCCCCCACCCTCAGGTAACAAGACTGGAGGTCCCCAATGACTGGTGTCTAGTTCATGCATATACCCCAAGTCCCAGCACAGGCTGGGCACAGGACAGATCCCTGGTGGGGGGAGGATAGAGGGACACAGCATGCTTCCTACGTAGGAAACTCTTGTCACTTAGGGTTTGTACTTGGACCAGCAAGGACACAGAAAGGGATGGGGCTGTGGTAAAGGGGAGTGCACACGCCTCTGAGGTCTCTCTGGGTCCCCATCTACTTTGGAGGATGCTGTGCTGACTTACAAAGCTGGAGGGGGTTATGCAGTCCATCCCAGCACTGAACAGTCATGAGTGCATGAGAGGCCCCAGGGGGGTTCCTTGGCCCCAGATTCCCCCTCACTCACCTTCATCACTGGTGTGAGGTTCAGTGCCATTGTCATGGTCAACTTCATCAATGGTCCCTGGCTCGCTGTGCGGGCTGTCACTGCAAGGAGATACGGGAAGGGAACGCATTGGGGGGCTCTGTACCCTCACACTGCCCCTGGCCTCCCTCGGGCAGTAGCCCAGTCCCCCTGTGGGCCCTGACCCAGATCAGGCCCAGTCCCACTTGATCCCATCTTTTCCCTGTGACCATCCATAGATTTTCCTTCTTAAGAGAAAACCACTTCCGGCTCCCTCACGGGGAGGCTTCCCTGCATAACCTTCCCCAGAGGAACTCCAGCCCTGGAATTTGCTAGGCTGTCTTCTTGGTAAAGGTTGCCAATGCCAAGGTGTTCTGTAAGATCCAGAGGGCAGTGGTAAAACCCTGGCTCTTATCCTTAGAAAACCACAGTGCAGAAAAGAAAGGAAGTTTGGAAGTACTGTGGGTCATTCGTTTAGCCCAGCTCCCTGCCTTATACAGGAGGTGACACATCCAGCGAGGTGGACTGATGCTCACAAGGAGCAGGGTTCCTCAGAGCTGCCTCAGGATGCTGTGTGCAAAAGCCCAGATCAGTCCAGGTGGTGCCAGCAGGAAGGCAACCATGCTGGGCAGGGTGGTAGGGTGAATAGAGGCCTGTCAAATTTAGTCACAAATGCACTGGGATAATTTTACCAGCTGCTACCCTCTCAAGAGATTATAAACTCGAGGCTAGGGTTCATTCACATAGTCAGTCAGTCGATTTTTTTTTTTTTTTTACTGAGCCATTGATCGAATCCTAATATATCCCTGACACTGCGCTAGGTAGGAGGGATGCACTGATGGGTCAGGTGGACACGGATCTGCTGTCATGGGCCGGGGGGGAAAAAACAACTGCTGCAAGTAGAAATGTATTATGTAGGAACAAATGAGCAGAGACAAGAACAGCAGAGGAGACCTACGCAGAATGGTCAGGGAAGGCTTCTTGGAGGAAGTGATATTTGTAACATCATTTAAAGGAATATAGATTTTATTATAGATTTTATAAGAAGTGATATTTGTAACACCATTTAAAGGAATATAGATTTTATTCTATTGCCTCCTGGGTAAGGTCCAGGTTCTGCACATGGCTTAAGACTTCTCACCATTTGGCCCCTGCTGGCCAGCAGAGCTTCCCCCCTCACCACTCCCTCGTCATATGAAACACTGGATACGCAGAACTGCTTTTCATTGTTTAGAAAATTCGTTGCCCACTCCACCTGGCTGACTCCAGTTCATTCTGTAGGTCTCAGTTAAGTCATTATTTCCTTCAGGGAGCCTTTCCTGACCTCCCTACATTGGCTCAGGGGATCCCACTTCTGGAATTGCCTATGCCCTTCTCCACCAGAGCTACTTGCATCAGGGGTTAATTCTGTTTCAGGTGCATCCCTTCCCCCCACCCCCCAGCCCAGTGCCTGAGCCAGGACAGATGCTCATAACCATTTGTTGAATCAATGAATGATGTCCATTGTGATGAGATCCTCAGCCAAATCTCACTTTTGGGCTTTTGAAAATGTCTTTAAAATTACCATGTAATTAATAGTTTTCCTTTCTTATGGGATGTAAATGCAATTCAAAAAGTGTGGTGATTGTATATTGTTCTTTGATAAATACACTAAGATCTGTAGGACCCTACCCAGAATGCTAATTTTATATATATATGGCAACAAGAACAGAGAACTGGTAATGATTACAAAAACTTGAAATGCTTCTCTTTGTCCAGAAAATCTGCTTGCTGGCTGTTTAATGTTTCTATTACAGAACAGGGATAGACTTGCTCCTAGTGCCTCAAACGAGATTAAAGAGTTGTGATTAGATAACACCAGGGTCTGGTCTTTCTGTGCAGGGAAACAGGGGCTGGAACACGGATCTTATCTGAAGCAGTTCCCCAAATATGCCCAGAAAACTAAAGCAATTCAAGAATCCAGGAATGCTTTGACAATAAAAAGACAGACTCTCCTGTAGGCATCAGGTTCAAAGCAACGCAGGTAGTGCCTAAATTTATAGCTGTGTATTGTCCTGGGTTGAGGACAAAGAAAGAATGCAAACCCTTTGACTGGTTGGTCTCTGCCAGTTGGTGTTCTGAATCTGCCTTTTCCACATTGAAAAAAAAATTCTAATCTTACCACATTCAAGGTCTTAGCCTGGGGAAGGCAGTCAGCCCTGATTTTGATAAGATTCTGATTTATTTCTCTCCAGATTCAGTGTAGGTGCCCAACTAGTGGCTGTTGACCTAGGGTGGAGCTCTCACAGACAGTGAATTCACTTTGGAAATGAGAACTCTGGGTGGAAGGGGACAATGATAGGATATGTCACTCTCAGTTCCTGTGTTTGAAATAGGGATTATCTACTTCCCTGCTGCCTGAGATGGGCTTACAACTCACCTGGCCAATGACAGCATTACCTCTGCTAACCAATGTGATTAGTTCCCCTGACTCAAGCCTCGGCAGGGAGACATCATTCTTGAGCTAGTGTTGGAACACTTGAAAGGAGAAGCTCTTTTTTCCCCTGGGGATGCTGAAAGAATGGGCTCTAAATCTGGAGTTACCAGATGCCTTCTTGAAACCTCCAAGAAAGAGGCTGCCTGAGGATGAAGCCAACATGAAAGAAAGCAGAGCACAGGCTGGGGATTGTAGGGCTGAGTCCTAATGATAATAGTGAGTCCCTGGATCCAGCTATACCTGAAGCTATGCTCCAGACTTTTAAAGTATTCTCATTCTGCTTAAGCCAATGTGAGCTACATTTCTGTCCCTTATAAATCGACACAATCTTGACTGATGCATCTATCTCATGGCAGGTTGCTGTGAAGCTCAAATGAGAAAATGTGTATGGGAGTACAGACTATAAAGCAGTAAGAAAATTAAAGGGTTTCTTACTGTTCCTGTTCAACAGCAACAACAACAACAATGATGGTAATAATAATATTAAGAGGAATGGAATCTTACCAATATTCTTCCCCTCCAGCCATGCATTTTTCATACACAGGTCCCTCTAGCTCCCGGGGGCTGGGGAAGATGGCTTCATGATGGATGATGATGGTTTTGATGACTTCGTTGACGTGTGCCTGGCAGGACACAGGGTCCTGCCCATCAGGAATGTGCATGAGGGTGGGCCCGAAGCAGATGGCCAGGTTGTAGGGATCCATCATGTTCTCATCACTATACTGCGAGAGGCTACAAGAGAGGAGGCACCCACAAGTCACCTGGGAAAGGCAAAGCCTCCCCCTGTGGTTTCTTTCTCTTGGGGCTCCACTCAAATCTGAGAGGATTCCATGTTATAAGAACTGCTGCACCTGCAAAAGCCTCAGGACCCCCTCCCAAAAGAGGTCAGGGCGAGTCAAAGAGGGTCCCACCCCCCCGGCTGGACAACTCACTGGTTGAGGAAAGCGAAGAGATATCTCATGACCACGATGACCACGCGGGGAAGGGTGATGAGGATTTGTTGGATCTGGTGCACCCTCTCAGCTGGGCTCTCCAGTTCTGTAACATAAAGGGGCTTTCAGGTTGCCTATCATCCTCAGAGAGGCAAATAGACAACATTTGTGAGTCCCACCTCCTACTAGATCAGGCCACATGATTCAGGACAGCCAGTTGTATTCAGTCCTGGACACTGAAATGGGACCTTGGCTTGGCCAATGAAAGTATCATATGCCACTGGATAGGTCCAGGGAGGGGAACATGGCCTAATCAGAAGTGATCACCGTTGATCCTTGGGACTTGGGGCCAAAGAAAGCTAGAGAGAGGCACCCTCTTGAAACTGGATAGAGGAAAGTGTGAAGCAGCTGGGAATCCCAAGGGAGAAGATCTTGCCTGAAAGTGATAACAACATAGAGAGAGAGGAGACAGATTCCTGCTGATGCGATGTGAAGGCTGTGTCCAGGAGGGGCCTAAAATTTCAGGAATTTGAGCCAATACATTCCTTTTTATGGATTAAGTCAGTATAAGTTGAGTTTCTGTCATCTGAAACTTATGTTTCATTAAAATCTGTATAAACACCAGCTACAGCATAGGCTGACACATAGTAAGTGCGCAGGAAAAGAGTGCCGAATCAGTCCAGCCAAGGGTGGGAGCAGCCAATTGGGCTTGATAAGGAGAGCAAAGTGCTATGTGTGTTTTGTCTTGTGGCTAAGAAGAATGAGCTGCCAAAGCTCTGATGTTTATTTGCAGTGCTGATGGTGGGCTGATGCACAAATTCACATCAATTTCTTTTTCAGAAAACACATTTTTTATAGCATGGCTCCTCCTTCCAGCCCCCACATTCTGTCAGTATGTTTCTTCTAAAACACTACTTTTCCTACTCTTCCTCTGCATCCAAGGCCCTTCGTGATGGGGCTTCAACCAAACTTGCATGCCTTTCTCCTAGTCACTGCCCCTTCCCATAGTATCTAAAGATGACTTAGAGCCATGCTTCTCAATGAAGTACTAGTGCACCTCTAGGGACATTTACAAATATACTTGTATGAAGCATTCTTTGAGGTTGCCACAGTAACTGGAGGATGCTACTGGCATTTAGGATCCAGGGGGCAAGGTGCTGGAACTGCTCCTACCCAAAATGCCAATAGTGGCCCATGGAGGAACTCTGTGCTAGGCCGCTCTATCCACCATCTCCCTCTCACAAAGGACTTGGCTGCTCCTGGGCCTTTGCACATGCTGTTGATCTCTCTTGTCTGTTGGGCACACTCCAGCTTACCTTCAAGGCCTGGCTCCAGGGAGCCTCACTGGAGCCCTTCCCACAGAGTTAAGCTCTCGCACCTTTATTGATTCTACTGCCCCTCCACGTCCTCAGCTTCAGCCACCATGCCCTAGTACCACCTTCACTGTTATTTATTAATTTTTTAAATTAAAAACATTTATTTAAAAAGGAAACTTGACCTCACTCTGTAAATGAGAAATGAGGATCACTTGCCATAATTAGAAGGTAATATAAAAAAGATACAATGTAAGCAAAACAATGTTACTAAATTGTAGGTAGACATTGTTCTATAAGCAAAGGTCCTGAGGCTGAATTTCAATCTCTCCATGTAGAAGGGAGAAGGGACACTGACCATGAGGTTTTTTCCTTGATGTAAATAATCACAGGATTTGGGAAGGAACTGAGAAGGGATGTTCTTTCTCACAGTGTGATTCAACTTATTCAATGTGATGCCTTGTACCAGAGGTCAACGACCTTGTTTGCTGAGGACCCTGCTCAGGAACTGGACTATTGGGGCTTCTGGAAACATTGGCTGAGCAGGTGACTCGGGACTCGGACAAGGTTGGACCTTTGTGGCCTGGAATTTCTCAGGGGTGATCTGGAGCTTGAAGCGGGTCTGGAAAGATGAGCAGGAAGCAGGGTAGAGGGCAGAAAGGTGGAGAAAGGGTCTTTCACACAAGGCACAGCAGGGGGTTAAGTGCCCCCCCCCCCAAGGCTGCCACCACCTCAGGGGCACTTTCTTGGCTGAAAATCTCTCTCAGAGCATTGTAGGGAGTGTCCCTAGTGAAACAGGGCGTGGGATAACTTTCTGTCAATCATATTAAACAGTTTATCCCAAAATACTAAAATTTTCATAGCCTAAATTAAAAGTTAATTTTAAAATATTTACAAAAGGTCTCCTTGGATTTTGGCATCTTACAGTCAAGGCACCTTTACTTCAACCCCCTGGACTGGGTTCCTGACTTCATCCATAGACATACCAGCCAAGGAGGACTCTGATGGCCAGAGGAAGCCCCTAGTCAACTTATTTTCATGATTTTCCTTGTTTTTCATGTTGCTGACCTCTAAGTCTCCCCATTACCCAAGGGGAAAATCTCTGGAATCCTTGCAAGGCATTCAAGGTCTTCCCTCTCTTGCTCCATGTTACCCTTCCAACCTCTTGCACCATGTTCTGGATGGGACACCCTCCTCCTGGCCCATTGGTCTGCGTGTCCCCAACCCTTGCCAGGTTCTCTGTGTCCACCCGTCCTGAAGACTCTGCTCACATCACTCTCAGCTATGATCTGAGAAACTAAGTCTTCCTCTATTCTTCTCTTCTGAGCTTCCATACCCAGGGGTGTACCATGCCCAATAGCTTTTATATTACTAACCATCTTTTTATTTTCACCACTAGGTTTTTAGTTCTGTGAGAACAAGGGCCATACTGCTTCTTTCACAGTGTCCCTTCTATGTGCCTAGCACAGTGATGGGCCCATAGTGCAACTTCAATAAAGATTTGCCGAGAAAATGATCATTCTGCCTGGGAAATACTTACTAATAGTAGATATCAAATCTTGAAACCTTTCCTTAGGAAAGAGTGGGTTTTCCAGTCCTCGGAAATACAGTTTTAAAACACCAGCGACTGAATTGATATCTCTTTCATTTTGATCATCCACAAGGGGGTCTTCACCTGTTAGGAAACAAGGGGTAATGATTCAGGTTGGTAAGGAGGCAGGGAACGTGCAGGTGGCAGAAGAGATGGGCTAGGCCGGCCTGAATTAGAGGAGAGGCAGATGGGACAACCTCCTCAACATGGCAAGTTTAGAGTTCCCCCTGCAACTGATTTTGCAAATGTTCAAATTGATAGTGATATTGTAAAAACAAAATAATAACGACCCATCACTCTTCACTTACACTCATTAGTATACACTCATCTTTGCCGTATCTGCTTTCTCCCCATTGGGGCTGCACAGTTTATACAGCTACCGGCAACACAGGAAAAGGCTTCTTTTCCTCAGCTCTGCCCAAGGAATGCTGTTACCCTTTTAAATTTTTGCCAGTAGGACAGGCAAATGATCTCTCAAGAGAGCAGCATTTTGCAATTTAATTGGGGCTGCTGAGCTAGTTCACCATGAGGGAAGCTTTCGTAGGGGAGATGAGAGGAAGCAGGGAAGGCGCTGAGAGAAGTCTGTACAATGGGCTCTGTCTCCTCCCAGAACAGCTCAGAGCACCCTGAGACTGGCAAGGAGTGAAGAGCACAACTGGAAATTCATACTTAGCTCCCTTTCCCCTGCCTCTATAGGAAGACAATGTGTGTCACTGCCAGGGCCTCAGTGAGCCCCAACATGCTGTAGTACAAATTACAAACAGCCCCTGCCTTCCTGAACTAGGGCTGCGGCACACAGAGCATGAGCCCAAGTCACCTCCCACTGCCCTCTTGGCAGAGCACCTGCCGGACCTGAACGACCGTATGTCGCAGCCAGACACTGGTGTTCCATACGTCGGTCTCTCAGATATCCCCGAGGAAAGAGAAAGAATGCTTCCCTGACAAGACTTTTTCATGGGGAAGGAGGAGAGAAAACATTAAAAAATCATTGCCTGTACTGATAGAGCACGTTCACACGCGTGATGTCTCTTAGCTCAACAGCATTGAGCGGCACAAAAGGAGGCATGGTTCCAACACCACCCTTCTCTCAGAAAGCTGAGGCCCCAGCAAGTGAAACAACTTGCCCACATTCACGAATTCAAAAATAGAACCAGCAGCTCCCAGATCTCATAATGCCTGGGAGACAGTCCTTCTTCTATACCTTTTCAATTCTGTCCAACTGCTTTCCTTCCTTCCTTCCTTCCTTCCTTCCTTCCTTCCTTCCTTCCTTCCTTCCTTCCTTCCTTCCTTCCTTTCTCCCTCTCTCCCTCCTTCCTTTACAGTAGAATCCCAACCTTTTTTTTTTTCTTTCAACATAGAGAACAAAGCTGTCTTAGTTGAACTGGGTGGAGAGGTCCAAGCCCTCTCCCCTCAGTCTACCTCTCTGTCCCAGAGGCAGCCCTTGAGGCCCCTCTGAAGTACCATAAATGTTCTAAACCTCTGCACTATGTTAAGCTGTTTCCTTATTATTACCACACATTACTTTTGTGGTTTCATGATGCAAAAGTGCATGGATTTGTGTCTCCATATTAGCTCCCCTTGTTCAGCATGATTAATATATTGACTTCACACACCATTTGCTCTTGCTCTGCCTCCCAGAAGACACTCAGTCCATAAAAGGAGCCACCCAAAATTTCCTTCCTCCTAGCTTAGGCCTCTTGCTCTCTGCAAGACTAATCGATATTGGCTCCAGAAATGAAGGGAATTTCAGAGCTCAAGATGAGCAGGATAATTTGTGTGAATGATGGCTTCCTCCAGGAGAAGAATTAGAGCTAAAAGCCAGGGAAGTTGAGAGAAAGCAGTGTTCATACTTTACTAGAGGATGTGCTGGAGGAACTAGAATTGCTACCAGATGGCCCTGCCTATAGCTGACTTTCAGCCAGGCCACCTGGGCATTGCCAAAGATGTTAAGGGCTGTGTCCAGGGCAGAGTATGAACACACGGTGTGTGTTTAAGGCCCCAGGGAAACTTGCTGCTGGACGGGGCATGGCAGGAAATGTGTAAGGTGGTCTGCTCACAAGGGCAGTTCTCTGTGGCCACAGTTCCATGCAAGCCCCTCCTGAGGCTACTCAACATGACAGTTCCCCCCATGTTTCTGGGTCACACCCCTCCTCCTGGGGCAAGAAATAGTCTCAGAAGGGCCAGGTTGAGGCTAGAATGTGTCAGACCCTGGAGGCCGTGACTTTAGCCCCAATTCCAAACCCTGTCTTGATCTGTGCAGGGAGAAAGGGTCATTGGGTTCCTTTCCAACCACTCTCTGCATAGGGGAGACCACTGGAAGCTCCCTCATCTCGATGTACAAAGAGGACATGGATCGGTTTGTGAGGGGAACAGAGAGGTGGAAAAGTGGCCTGGGAGACAACAGCAAGCCACAGCGCTCTCCAAGGAACAGCTGTGGAGTCCTGCCTTTTTGTGATGTTTTCTCCTTCACTTTGCCAGAAGATTACAAGAAGATCTCAGAACTTGAGGGGTGAGGTTAAGATTTATTGACAGCAACAATAATAATAATAATAATCCCAACTAAAACTCTGGTTGACTCATGTCAGAAGAAATAGAAAGTGGGTTTACAACTAATAAGCCAAGAAAGACTTTCCAGAAGGTTAAGGAAAAGAGACAGCTGTTTCTCTCAACAGTATTGCAAGAAATGTAGGCAAGAACTTCTGCTCCAGAGAAAGAAGGGTGTTCAGGAAGGAGAAAGACCCAACGCTCAGAACAAAGGTCAGGGACTGGCAGAGGGATTGGGGATTTGAATTTAAAAAAATATAAAAGGAAGAAAGGAAAAACATACAATGTACTGATTCTGGAGAGAAAGTTTGATCATATGTTAGGGTGGGCAAGAAGAGAAATGCTGAGCCCTGTGCAAGTTCTGGCCACCTGGTTGTTGTGTTTTGTGGGGAGGAGGACAGAGGGGGACATGGAGGAACACGGAGGGTTTTCAGGAGAGGTGGGAGGAGGTGACCCCAGGGATCAGCTGGGTAAGGAGCCTAACCCAGGGCAGCTGGTTGGTGTGCATCAAGAAACAGAAAAGAGTGAATGAGAAATCTGGGCACTGGCCAGCCCCGAGGAACCAGGAACGATTTTTCTGTAAAGAGACATACCAGGAATGACTCCTCTAAAATAAGCCATGCTTCACTGTAGGCTCAGGTGGAGCAGAAGGACCAGGCTGGCGAGAGAATGAGATTCACTTGGTAATGGCAGAGAGAGAGAGAGAGAGAAAGGAGCTAACTGTATACGTGATGCAAAGAAAAAGCAGAAAACATTTTTTTGCAGTTGAGATTTGGGTCAGGTGATCTCTGCCCAGCAGGGCTCTGCATGGGGTGGTCTAAAGCTTGTTAGGAACAGAGAATTCTTTATTTCATGTCACCCCTGCAAGGCACCCAAGCAAGTGACAGAAGGTGCTAAACTTAGAAAATCACATTCAAGAAGGAAAGAAAGCAGTGCTTCTAGGGCAGGCTTAGGGCCTGGCTGCCTGGCACGAGGTTACTTACAAGACAAAGGGAAGCAGGAAAATGCCAGCGTGGGGTGCTCACCAGGCTGGAGGCACCATGCAGTGAGTTTACCCATGTGAGACTCAAGGAATTCTATATAATGGGATGGGCCTAGGAGGATGGGAGCAGCCAAGGCTCCGGACCATGTCTCTGTTCATTTACAATGAACACAAGGCAGCAGGGGCGCTAAGGAGCTGCAGAAATGAAGAAGCAAAGCTCTGGATTGGGCCATCCAGTGTTGTCAAGAGAAACTCAGGGAATGATGAATGGCACTTCCATCAGGGATGCTGATGGGAGGTACCTGTTACTTTATGGCCTTTGCATATGCTGTTCTCTGGGTGTGGAATCCCCTTTCTCTGGCTCTTACTCTTTAAGCTCAGCTTAGGCATTTCCTTCCCCAGGAAGCCTTCCTGGGCTTTGCCGTTCCTCGCAGCTCCATCCAAGCTGGGCATGCTACCCAGTGCTTCCTCCCTCATTGCACGGTCATGCTACCTGTGCTCTCACACTAGCAGTGACTGTCTTTTGTTCCTATTGGGTTTTCAGGCCCTAGCCCATTACCTAGCACAGTGTAGGGCTCAATGCATGCTGGTCGAGTGGATGAATGGATGGATACATAAAGAGTAGGGGTTTGGAGCAGGAGAATTCTGGGGCTTTCTGTCTCTGAGTGCCCAAGATCCTGGAATGCACCCTGGAAATTAAGCTCCCCTGGACCCTAGGAGGCCACTGAGTGTCCCATCCAGTCAAATCCTGCTCTCTACACCAGGTTGCAAGGCAAAGTGCCTAGGGCCTTGGAGGTCTGTGCTGGGGGCTATGGTGGTGACCACCTGGGACTGGCAGAATGCTTCCTCCATCCTGAACTAGACCTCCGGGTGGAACTGGGAGGTTAGGGAGGGGGCGAGTGTGCAGAGGAGGCAGCCCCTCCAGGGGAAGCCCGGTAATAAGTAGGGAGAATCCTAAAGCTGGGACCCCTAAAGGGGGAGGCCTGTTCAGAGCACATCCAATAGGTACAAACCATATACCTCCCAAGGCTGTTAGAACAATGGGTTAAAAAGTACTTTGTAAATTGAGATGTGATCTACTGCTGAGAAATGGGTTTGGGATTTGGGTCCTCAGACCAAACTTAATATAAAAACCATTCAGAGAAAAAAGTCATAAATGAAAGTTAACAGGAGTCGACTATGGAGATGTTATCCTTCCAAAACGCTGGTAAACTGGAGGCAAAGATATTACTTAGGATGCAAGGCAAGCACCTAGTATAAAAAGGTAGAGGTGGATGAAGACCCGGGGACTCCTTACTTTGCATGGACCCTGTCAGCAGCCATCTGTTTGTCCCCATCAGGGATTCTGAGACCAAGAGAAGCTATACTGAATAAGTCACATGTGCTCCTATTCTGGTGGTAACTTCATTTCCAATAAGCTTCTATACCCTTGGTTAACCAACATGAGAGCTGGGCGACCTCACCGAGGGTAGGAGGAGTGCACGGTCTCTTCCTGCCAATGTGCAGCTTTGCCGAAAATACTACACGGAAAATTAAGAACTAGGATATCCTAACAGCCACTCAGTGTTATCTATGCTTTTCCAGCTTTTCTCTAAAACACAGTAGACTCTCATAACCCTTCCAGAGTGTTTTACAAGGCCCTCTTTCCCAGCAACCACCATGCGGCCCGCCATGTGCATTGGCAAAGGTTTAACAGCTAGGTCATTGGAGGGGAAAAAGAAAAACAAAAGATCTTAGTATTTGCCAATTTCTGTGGTGTAAATACTCCCACTGTGGCTGATTTCAAGCTACCAAAGTGAAGTTGCTGAAGGCAAAGTTGGAAAGAGATGTTGATACAAGCCAGCTCTGCACACCACTGGCTCTAAGCCCTGTGCTATCACCCACCCTGGCTCCCTCTGGTCACAGGCTAGAGGTGGTCACTCTGCACCTACCTCTCTCAAAGGAATTTTTGATGTCATTGACTTCAACCTGAGATCCTGGCACTCTGAAGATCCCTTGCTGCTGGAGTCCTATAGGGGGAAAAAAAACCAGTAACAACAACAACAAAAAAGGCAAAAAAAGAAAGAGAAAAATGCCATGAGGCCTTGAGCTCATCATACCAGTGGGAACTTTGATGACTCACCCCACTGCTTGCCTCTTTCTCCCACCATCCTCTATCAGACAGTCATTCTCAATGAAGGCAGAAGCCCAGAATAGCCTTTGCAATAAGCTCCGGCTGACCAAAAGACTCAGGCACATCCGGCTTCATATGTCTGTGTCTCTTGTCTGGGCTTGGAGGAAAAGGCCATAAGAAATTTATATCAAGACTGAATCTGTGGATAGTGTCCAATTTAACCAATAAGTTGGCTCAGGCAAATAACTGGTCAGTGCACACTGCTACCGAGTTTACCAGCTGCACTGGCACCAAGGACCTTTGCCCAAGTTTATAAATGCTGTCTGAGAGGAATGGCCACAGAGATTTTGAACAAGAAGGATCAATACCACTGCCTCAATCCTTCCCTCCCCTAACACAGACATTTTTTTTCCTTCAAGAAAAGCTAAAGAACATGCAGACCTGGGATCAAGGAATTTAGGCGAGATTAAATTATTAAAGAAAAGCAATCACATTTTCTTAAGTTTCTACAAGGCCAGAACAAAGGAGACCCTGACAGCTGACCTAACAGCAATCTATAGGACTGAGGGAACTGAAGGGCCTCCCTTCTCTTAAATGGGAAGAAATGGGGAAGGCTCTGATCATTTCCCTGGGATTCAATTTTTCTATATAAAACAACTCTCCACATTATAATTTAGGGAAGTGTTTACTCTTAAAAGGCAGGCTGTCATCAAAGTCTGGTTTGTACATAGCACGTGCTCAACAAACGCTTATTTATTTCATTAACCAGTATTGACTTTCCACACTATGTCACTGGCCCATTCTTGTCCAGTCACATTGGCCTTTGTCCCATATGAGGGGCCCTTCTCTCCATCCGGGCTGCATGGCTGGCTTCCTCTACTCAGTAGAGTCTTGAAGGGCCCTGGAGTCTTAATTACCCCCTCGGAGAGATCTCTCCTCACCACCTCAGTCAAACCAGCCCTGCCCCCCTCTAGCCACTCCATTCTCTCTTTATTAGTTTTTTTTGGCAATATCAATACCTGAAATCACACTATTTGTTTCTCTGCTTGTTTGTTTCCTTGCCCTTCAAACTGGTAATGTAAGCTACCTATGGCTGGTACTTTACCAGTACTTTGTAGAAGCCTGTATTCCCATCATTCAAAACAGTGCCTGTTATGCACTCTAAAAAAATACTTCTGGAGGAATGAATAAATGAATTGATGGAAGTACAAGTTAAGTACTGGGAATACCATGGTTAGGAAATCCTAGACACTATATTTCCTTCATGGATCTTACTACAAACTTGCAGTATTAACTGACTGACTGGCCAACTGCATTTGGTGCTCAAAGCAGAGCTCTCGGCTGGGAGTGAGAAAGGAGCTAAAATGCTCCCTCCGTCCCTGTCCTCCCTGCTCCTCAATTTTCCTAGTTCCTGGGTCTTCTCGCCACTGCTTTTCTTACCCCAACACACAAGTCTCAAAAGATAGCATTCAGAAGAGCAGCTGTTCTGCGGCGCAGTGACAGGGAAGTCTTCCAGATGAGTTAGAATCTCATTTCCTATGAGCACAGCCTAGCGCCTATTCTGGACAGAGCTGAAAATGCTGCCCCACGATTGAGCTTACCGTATAAATTGATGTATCGGATGCAGCTCTCAACTACAAGTGGTATAGCTTGTCCCGAATCCTTAAGAAAAAAATTGTGAGTTTTATTGGGTTTGACAACCACCACAGGAAAACAGACATTGCAAATACAGATTATAAACTCAAGCCAGAATATTAGTACCATCAGATTAGTAGGAAAACAAGCAAGGAACTGCTAATCCTAAAGTCTCCACAAACAGTTAAAATACAAAGTCTTCAGTTATATGCAGAAAAAGGCATAGCTATGGTAATTTTAAAGAAATGCTCTGTCTTCTTACTTAGCTGGGAAGGAATCAGGGCTCAGGAGGCTTGGTGGGCAATTGGAAAGAAGAGGGAACCTGCTGCGTGGAGGGGGTATAGTCTGCCCGTGGACAGTTCTCTGCCTCCCGCTCCACTTTGCCCCTGCTCAGCCCTATTCTCCCAGTGCTCAGGGATAAAACAAAGCAGCATCAAGGACTCCTCCTAGGGCTGCAGTACCTGATACCAGAATTAAGGAGGACACACTATGGGAGAAGCAAGGCTGGCCTCAGGCCTCCTTTTGAGCTCTGGGAAGGGACAACCAGTTCTACTCAGGCTGTCACAACCTAAGCATCCAGATACTTTGCTGAACAGGAAATGTGTTATAAAGGCTCTAGAAACAGCTTACGTCAGCCCTTGACCACTGAGTGGTCAACCTTAGTCAAATAGGCTGAATAAGATGCAGTTCTGAGCATAGGCTTCTGGGGTGTGAAGGTATTTTTCAATTACATCTTCTTAGGCTGGCCCATGGCCACAAGGGCTGGGCAAGGGATAATTTTCTTTTGGATTCTGCAACTGGTTGGCCTTTCTGCTATGTCAGGTCACTAAAGAGCGTAAAATCTTCTTAAAACTTTCTTTAAAAGGGGTCATACTAAATTACTAGCCTCCTCAGAAGGTGAGGAAACAATAAGGCATATGCAATATGCTTTTATAAAGGGCATTTGGGTGCTTTCGTGGCTTCTTCACACCCCACCTGTGAATTCTTTCCTTCATTAGCTATGGTCAGGGAGAGAATGATAAAGTACATCTCCTGGCAACAGGCAAGGTGGGCCCTCTTCTAGAAATCAGTACTAAAGACAGGTTTCATCCGGCTAAATGGGGCTAACGGACCTTGCTAGTAAATACCTGGTTCCTGGTTCGAGCATTTCTTCTTCCTCTGATAACAAAAAATAAACAGGCAGCAGAGCAGGAGAAAAAGAAAAGATTATGCAGGAGTAAGATCAGTTAGAGTAAGCAGATCCTTCAGAGTCCGTGAACGCCAAAATGCAATGGCAGCCAGCAAGGGTCCTGGGGAGACTGCCGGCCAGCCGGCCCGGGGTGGGGGCTCCCCGCATCTCAGGGCCTCGAGGGGGTTCTGGACCCCGCCCTAGCCAGCCTTCCAGTATGGCTGCCTTGGACACCAGGTGATGTAGGAGCCTCTTTTGGTCCTTGTCAAAGTGCAGGAACAGTGTGCACTGAACCCTTTCCTCATCCCCATACTGGCTTCTCCTCAATACAGAGGTTATTCATTCACCAATGGGCTGGAGACCACCTAAGACCCCTTGATGTTACCCCCAGCTACCTACAAAAAGGAGAGAAGCACACCTCCCTGTGTCTGCTGCAAGACTGTCCCTGGAATTCAGCTCAGGAAACCTCATTCCTGGTAAAAAGCTAATTGTATCAAGATCATGTTTATCACATGTCCTCTGGATAAGTCCCAACAGGATTCCAAGTTTCAAACAGCTTCCTAGCTTTCCTACCAAACAGCTTGGGGAGTTTCTCCTGGGTCTCCACAAGGCTTTTCTCTCCTTCCTACCCTGGGCCCTCACACTAGTGCTGAGAACACCTCAGGGAACCCAGAGGCTGAGAAAGGCCCAGGGGAGGGAGGGCAGTAGAGAGTAAGAACACCTTCAGGACATTGCCTTAGTTTTCACTAAAGTCACTGAAGCTGCAGATTTCCACTGGCAGGGGAGCACTCTCTTGTTCTTTCTTCCTCTAAGTGCAGCAGGGCAGGGTGCTATGTTTCATCCAGGCTTCTGAGGAGGCTGAACTGAGAAACTGGAGGATATACACCTTCTAAGTAGTGTCATCTGCCCAGTCGCTGGCATCTCGAAAACTGGAATTATCATATGTTGGCTAAACCTACCTGAATCCTAGGACTGAGCAAACAGCCTGATCAGATGGGGCTCTGGGATCAATCTCCTAATGGCGAATGGCAACAGCAATAGCTAACGCTTCCACAGAGTTTGCTATGTGCCAGGCAGTGCTCTAGAAACATGGCGTCTCTCAGCTCATTTGTGCTAACAGTATCACACACTCAACAGGTAGGTAATTACCATTCTCATTTTATAGAAATGAACTCCCCCTCTGTCCCAGGGGCAGACTTCCTAGGCTGCAAAATTTATAATAAAAAGTGGGTTTCTACCTGAGAGGAGAAAAAAAATCAAGGATTTTGAAAAAGGTCAATTCAGGTAGAGCTCTAGAAATTGATTCCATAACTCCAACGCATTTATCTGTCCTCCTTAACTTGGAGATGCTTTGTTGTCCCTTTAAACCCTCACATTCATGGAGTCCCAGTGATGTTATTTTGTTGGACGACTTTTACAGGTCTGGCATTTCAAAGTTGGGGATTCTAAGTCTGTGCAGAATGTTCTCCCAGATAACATGTGAATCATAAGAGAAAATGAAATTCTGTTCACAGATGTAGAAGAATTTACCATATTTTACTGCCTGTTCATTTTCTGGAAATTAATAATCCTTGAGAGTAAGACCATGCTGTATGCAATCTTGTCTACATACTGTCTAGCTCACAGGTGTGCAGAAGTGTGCTGAACTGCACTTAAGGTATGTGGTATAAGTACAGTATAACTTACAGAAATGCAATCATTTAACAAACATACCTATTTCATTTTCAGTCAAATAGTTCCCTTAGGAGGCTGTGCACTTATTCCAACAATGAGCCACAGATTGGTGCTCTGGGGTGTCCCTCACTGGGGGCTCTTTTCAGAGCCAGCCCACCAGCCCCACTCTAGCATGTGCCTTTTGCCATTTTGTTTCTCCAGTGCACGGCAAAGCTGAGCTTTGAAGGACCAGGGTGTTCATTGTAATGCAAAGTTTGGCACCCTTGACAAAGGCCATGCTACAAGCTCTAAGGAAGACTGGCTAACTGAAGCAACAGCTACAATATATATTTAGATATATAGCTTATATTTTAGATATATAAGAATGTAGCTGCCCAAGGTGATCACCTCCAAAGGACAAACTCTCATATGGTTGCAGAAGTTCTCGTGTGTTTGTCAGGAGGAACGAAGTCAGATAACTAGATAGGCACAAACGTGTAGCCTATTTCATTAGACAGAACACCTAATGTTTCAATCCTATCAGGTAAGAGTTAGCTCCTTCCACGTATTCTCACTGATCATCCATTTCCAAAGAGCTGAGCAAATTAGAGAAGGCGTCCTGTCTATGCGAGCCTTCATTCATGTTCTTCCTTCTTTCAGGGTCTCCTCGCTCCTTCTCTTCTCTGTTTTATTCCTGCCTTTCCTTCAGCACTCCCTCCCCTGCCTCCAACTGAAAACTCTTGTGCCCTAGTGCTCATAGCTCTTCTTCTCTAAGCTCACACAGAACGTGTTTCCATGGGGATAATTCACGAAGCGTTCATCTGAATCACCTTACACTTTCCTCTTTCTCTGTTGAAATCCTCCTGACTGACACTATTAGCTCCTTGAGGTCAGGGAGAATAGCTCACAGGCCTTTCAGTCCCAGCTCAGTAATGGAGAGTGGCTTTTCTGAGGTCCAAGATGAAGTTCTGTCAGGGCGAAGAGGAAGGCTGAAGAAAGAAGGACCCTTTTGACACAGCCTCATCTTCCCGTGGCCTATGGGATGGCAAAGTGCTCACTCAAGGACAGCTCCAAATAGTACTTCTTTCCTGACGCACTCAGCAGCACCCCACCTTTTGGGACCCTCCATGTCTCACTCTTCCGAGGTATCCTGAAGCAGCCCCCCGGTTCCCTACTTGGGCAGTCTCCCCTTGTGCCCCACTGTCCTTTCCCCAGGACTCAGCCCACAGGCAGAGACACACCTGAGATCCAGGCATGCTGCCGACCCCCGCCCGCTCCGCAAGTCCTGTGTGCACCCTGAGGGTGGAGGAGAGAGGGCAGGGCAGGGAGCCTCCACTGCTCCAAAACTGCCGGCAAAGCCCGAGAGCCTTTACTTTCCCCTGATTGACACCAGTCTGCTTTTTTTTTGCAGAAAGTGTCTTCACTGGATGGTGGTGAGCTCTGGAATAACTGGCAGGGACGTTCTCTCTTGCTCCCCCTCGCTGATGTTAAGAATGTACCTCCCCTTCTTCAGTCTCTCCCCCACCTTCTGTCCTTTTCAACTCCATCACCATCTGAATTTGCCTGAGCCATTCTACCTGGGATGGCTTGATCTGTACCCTTGGCATCCAAGAAGCAAGAAAAGAGAACTCACCTAGCTGAAATGCTTTTGTTTTTAGTTTAAGGTGTAAAGGGTTAACCAGGAATTCTATAGGGACTGCCTCAGCTTCTCTCCCTCCTCCCAAACTTCCCAATAAGAAGTAAAACTAGGTAGGAAGGTGTTCTTTCATACAAATTTTATGTTTCTTTTGCTGGTATATTCTTAACTAAAAAGTTAAAATCTCACTGTTGCCTACAGGGATTTTCTTTGTGTTTCTTCCAACCAAGCTCCTCTTGGAAGATGTGGGTATAAAGCAAGGTAGTGGGTTTCTCTGACTGTCCCTTTGGCTAGTGAGGACCACAGTTCCTGAAGCAACAAAGCAGGGCTGGCAGGGACCACTGCCCTGGCATTTCAGCCCCACCTGGGCTTCACTGGGTTGCTTCATGATCTTACCCCTGAGACTCACAGGAAGGCACTTAGGAGCAACTGGTCAAAGACAAAAGCAGCTCTGATTAGAAGCCCTCACCAAAGCTAAGCGCCGGCTGCAGGGAGGAACTAGTTTGCCAGAGGGCCTGGCCAAGGGCACAGAAGGAAAGTTCTGATAGGTAGGGGCAGGAACGCTGGCAGAGGGGAGGAGGTGGAGGAAGGCTGCCATTACATTGGGCGCATTCGCGGACTCTGTGGCTCCCCAGCAAGTACCTTAATGAACGCTTCCATACAGCCGTTAAATAGTTTATGGCTACACACTGAGAGAGGCCTAGGTCTCCTCATTTTCTGTGGTTTAGGGGGAAGACAGGGGGGCCTAGGGGAAAACGGAACAAAAGAAATCAAGAAAGCAACCAATGTAAACATACAACTGGGAAAGACGCTCTTAAAACCCACAATGGGAGAACACAAAATGCAAATGGAAGCCCCTGAACCCCCAGCACATTGCTGTCCAATGCTCCATCTGAAGGCCTTTGGATGTTTGGGGGCTCTTAATTAACCCACAATGTCAGGCTGCAGCAACACTCGTATAACATAAATGTGTTCTATATCATAGAGGGGAAATAGTTCATGTCCATGAAATCACTGAATCTCCAATCAGAGGCTGTCATCCTGCAAAGCTGACCAGATGGAGGGGGAATCAGGGGAGAGAGATGTAATCTGTAGTCTGAGAAAGCAAGAGACTTCCAAAGATGATTGGAAGGGTTAATTTTCATTATTTTGGCTTCAATTTATCACCAAGTGTCAACTCCCAATGTACCAGGGTACTGATCTTCCTAATGCCTCTTGGCATTTCAAATGCACTTGACTAATCTTTATTTCATTGATCTAAGAGCCAGACAATTATTATTCTCATTTTAGAGATGAAGAAACTGATGCCAGGAGGGAGGCTGCAGCTTCTTTGGGGTCCTGGGGTGACCCAGGATGACGATTATATCCTGTTCTTTAGTCAAGTACACTTCGATTAAAGTGCTTTCAGATCCATTACCACACTTAACATAAACTCAATCCTGTATGTATGGCCTCATTTTAAAAAGGCAAAAACTAAGACCTAGAAAGGGGAACTGGCTGAGCCAAGCCCTAAACCCAGGCCTCTTCGGCTCCAAATCCAAGATTTTCCCCACTGAGCAGCCATGGAGCCTCAGGGCTCTACTTCATTTCCAGCCAAAGACTCACCCCTCCCATTAACCCTTGCCAGCAGAGGACCCATGGGGTCAGGTTGAAAGTGTCTTGCTTTGCTTTAGGATCTCCATTCCCTGTGCTCCACTCTTGGCCACAGGGAGGGGAAACCGCACCACAGTTCCCCAGGAACAGTGAAACAGCCACAAGCACTGGACCAGTTTCCAGAGTTGTTCACCATGCATATGCCTGTGTTGGCTTATTTGCTCATCTTTCGCCACCCAGGTTGGCCTGACTCAATGCTTCCAGCCTTCAAGAGCAAAGGGCTCTGAGGTTAGGAGGAGGGCCCCTCACCCAAAGAGGCAGTTCATTTTCAAATGGCTTGGTACACAATTTGGGAAGCAACAAGTAGGGGCCCAGCCAGGCACAGATAAGGTCCACACATGACAAGCGAAGACCTGGTCCCCAAGTCTTGACTGAGTTCTGTAAATGAGCAAGAAATCTTATGGGTTTGGGAGCCAACCAAGGTGAATGACAGTCATACTGCCTCTTTTCACTGGCCTTGTGAGTGTCCCCTCAAGAGCCTGGCCATCCTGGAACCTCTAACCAACCTCTTGGCGTTTGAGTATTGAGCAAATGCTGCTAGCTCCAGGACATGCATGGGCAAAGACACAGCTGAATCCAAATATCATGCCACCCAAACATTGGAACCAAAATAACAGCACAGATCAAAATTTTGAAATGAAACAACAGGCAAGATTATTTCAAGCCCATCTTGGATCTTTTGTCAATTCGGTTAGCTAAGTCCATGTCATTTTTTTTTTTTTGTAAGTTACTTATTTTTGGAGGATGTGGATGTATGGGGCTGGTATTTCTCACAATGAATCTGCTTTTGAATTTTCAAATTCTAAAAGAAATTGCCAAAAAATGTGACACAAGGCCATAGGTTTCAAGTCTTATAATTAGGAATAACTTAAAGATAGCAACTTTGCTACCTATTTCTCACAGTGTTTTGGGTTTCCGTTTCTGAACATTCTCAGATCAGTTCCTTATCTCACATAGTATGATACCCTCACAACAACCCTGTGAGTTAGGTAAGAATTATTAAACCCACTTTAGACATAAGGCAAATGGGCTGATGAGAGATTAAGAAACATGCCCAAGGTCATTGGAATGTAGTGCAAATTGGGAAATTGATTTTATCACAGGATATCCAGTAGTAGCATTAAATTATTTATTAAACTCCCATGGCCAGCAAGAGTAGAAACTTTTAATACAGGTGTTGGACACCTAGTATCAAAAAGTCCTGGTGCTCATTTCCTGAAAATAAGTCCTAAAGATTTTTTTCTTTTGAGTTTACAAAATGAAATAAAGGAAAAATAGGATACTTTTTCCCATTTCTCCTACCCAATCCAGAAAGCAAAGGACTGCTGGAATCACACTGAAATTTCTTTCTTGGTAGGGTGCTCTGGGCCCTGCCTGGAATCTCTGACAAGGAAACGTAGCTATCCCAACTTTGCATGACACCAAATAGATACCGACTTACTGAAATGCTGGGTGGGGCACAAAGTGGGGAGCAGGGGGGCAGCTCAGCCAAGGAAAGTGGGGCAGCCTAAGCCTTCCATCTCTTCTGCTGCTCAGTTGCAGAGCAAAAAGGGAAAAAAAAAAAAAAAAAGAGAAGCAGGGAAAACAGGAACAGAGAAAGCCATAGAGAGGAAGAAAGAGAAACCAGAGACCAATGTCCCCTTTCTGCGTTTCAACCAAGATGAAAATAAACAAATGTTGGCAACACAGGACTTGGCCTCAGAATCATTCTGTGACTGAAAGGACAGTGACTAGAGTCTTCCCTAGACAACCCAATACACATGGGTGTCAACATCCAAAATGGCAGCAATATTGTAATTCAATGGTGGTCAGGCTCTTGGAGGCTGTGTGTGGGTGTGCATTGGGTTGCATTTTTTGGACAGAAATCTCCAGTCACACAGGGGCAAATCAACCTGGGTTAGGGAAGCCAGTCTTAAGTTTGAATAATCATAATCAAACCTTATATTTTCATCTGGCTTTGACATTTACCATATACTTTTCAAGTGCATTATTGTGTCTGTTCAGCCTAAATTACAGGGTTATTATGAATTTGGGCAATTATAAGGTAAGGTTTTAAGTGCAAGAAAAATATAATGTGTTGCAGCCCATGTGCAAAAAATGGCTCCACCTATACAAGGACAGCAGTGACTTGGCTGAGGGGACCTGCACAAATGGTCATCCACAAAGACACTAACCTTGGACAGGGAACGATGGAAGATACAGAGAGGCACAGTATAGAAACATCTCACCCAGGGCCTTTCAGATTAACTTAGAAACCATTACTAAGTTGACATTTCATTGCACAACATGTTAAAAATGATTTGTGGAAGTAAAGGGAAGCTTTTAGTTTACTAACAAAGTTGCCTTTGACCATGGCCAAGGGTCAGAGTGCAGATGACTGGGTTTTCAATTGAGTGCAGTGTGTCTAAGTGGGAGGTCTGGTAATCCTAGCTTTGGTTTCTCAGGCCTCAGTCTAAGAGGGTGTGGGAGAAAACATCTCAGTGGACTTCATTAAAAAAACAAACAAACAAACAAACAAAAACCTCAACTTTTCTCTGAGGTAGACCCTGGGACCTGGCCAAGGATTGATTAAGGCTCTTTCCTGAAACTTGCTGGAACAATCTTCTCCCACATAAATTCTAGGAATTCAGAGGGAGTGAGGGACAGCTCAATGTATCACCCATCTATTTCACCATTTGCAAATTTGGGTGTAAAACATGGCTTCTGTTGTTTGGGGACTATGATAACATCCTCTTGCCAGAATGAATGAATGAATAAATGAATAAATAAATAAGAGGTTTGTTTGTAAAAGTTTCTTAGAAAGTGACCGTGTATATCTGTTGACCCCTGTGCCAGAGGTTCCTGCCTCGCATTATGAATCATCCTGCTGTTCGAGACTCGCGGGGCCCAGAGGAACAGCTGCACAGGCTAAACTTCTGGAGAGCCCCCAGTCCCCACCATCCTGGGCCCGGCGATTTGAAAACCCCAGAGCTTTCCAAGCCTCTTCCCAGCCAACTCCCTTCCAGATGAGCAGAGAGTTGAGGGTTCGTCTTCCCTCTTGCCAAGCACGACAGCTTTCCAGGATTCTGAGTCATGGGGAAGAATTTGTGGGGAAAGGATGTCATCAGGTCACTAGGTCCAGAATGAGACAAAAGATAGCTCTCAGCTGTCCCGTGATGGAAAAGTGCAGGCCTCTGGAAGGCTGAAATCATGCTGGGCAACAGGGTAGTTATTGCTGGGAACTCTGAAACAAATGGACTCCAAGGAACAACCTGGGCAATGACAGGGTTGCATATAATCTACACTCTGTGAAAGTAGAGGAAGGGTCCAGTTGCTGAAACATCTACCACCAGCTGCCAAGTGGAAAGTGTTCACTGGCTCTGGTCTGCTCAGGGGAAGGCACAAAGGGTAACACTGAGCAAGCTGGAGAGAAAGCGGAGGTTGCCCGTTTGTTATTTTCCCAACAAGGGACTCCCATCCAGGTGCGGGTGAAGTCCAAAGCCAGGGTGCGGGCATTAGGGGCGTCCGTGCACGCTTATGTGGGTATGCGCATGCATGTGCCCAGATATGCGCAATTCCAGCCAAATCCAAAGCCTTAGCAAATGGGGACCCTAGGCTGGGCCCCGCGCCTCAGCTGGGCAGTTTGCTCAGCAGCCATGTAACAGATGGGAAGGCAGGTCAATAGCTACTCCACAGCCTCTGGCCCCTACTGTCTGCTCTCAGCCACTGCAATGTATGTTACTGTCTCACCCACTGGACAGTACACTCGAGGCGGGAAATACCCCACTGACCCATAGCAGCTCTGAAAGCCTGCTCCCCATCAGCAGCCCAGCAGAACAGCCATAAAAACATCACTTCCTTGCAACAGTGAAGAGCTGTCCCACTCTAAGAACACCCTTGCCACTCTGAGCTCTCTGCAAGTGTCTGTCTTCCACCTTCTTCTCCTCTCTTGCTCCTCACACCTCCTCCCACTCCCCACCTCAGGGCAACAGGTGAGAGAAAACAAGTACCCAGCGCTTACCTGGTTGTGCCACATTCTGCTCTCTCCCCTGGAAAAGAAAGTATATATTGATGTTTAGTTGTTGGTTTTTAACCAGAAACCACCTTTAAAGAGAAGTATATATTTATGTTTAGTTATTGTTTTTTAACCAGAAAATACCTTTTGTTTTTCTAAAAACAAAAACCAACTGGTCTTAATCATTTGTGAAATGAAAAACCACATCATGCCTGAGTTACGGTCTGCTGGAAAGAACTGCCTTTTATCAAATCTGAAGTGTCTCCTATTCATAGGGCTGTGTTCACCTACATTTTGTTATTGTTCACATACATTTCTTCAGTGATTCTCAAACTGCAGTCTGCTGACTGCATCAGAATCACCTGGGACCTTTGTTAAAAATGCAGATTTCTGGGCTCTCCCATAGGCCTCCTGAATTGGCATCTCTGAGATAATAACCCAGGAATGTACATTTTAACAAGCACCCCGGGTGATTCTGTCTATCCACATTAAAACTCCATACTATGAATTACTTTATATCAACAAAGATTGACTGGCCCTAATGTGTACCAGGAACAAGATTCCTTCTTACTGTTCCACAACCCTGCTGCCCACCTCCCACCCTGCTACTGCCATTCGCAGCTGAGGACCTGCTCACCTCCTTCAGTGGAAAAAAGAAATCAGTAAGATGGGGTCTTGGTGTTGCCTCCAAGAGACCCACCCACCTACATGCACCCACCCATTCGCTTGCTACTTGCTGGTACTTGCGAGGAAGCTCCTTGTTTCTGCCAAAGCCCAGGCCTTCTCTCTGAGCCTGTGTTTTGGGTCCCATCCCTCCACCCTTCCCAGGAGCTCTGTTCCTGCAAGTGTCTCCCTCTCTCAAGCATCACCAACCTCCTTCCTTCTGAATCATTTCCTTCAGTGTGTGAACATGTTCTGGATATGTATATCCTAGCTTTTCAACCTCCCCTTGACCCCATCTGTCCCTCTAACTACATCTCATCCAGTTCTCAGTTCTCCTTCATAGCAGAGCTTCCCGAGGGAGCTGCTCAGGGCCCCGCCTCTCCTCCCCTCATCCCACTGCAGCTGGCTTCTCTCCTCACCGGTCCCCGCAGGTGGCGGCGCTGTGGGGCTGAATCCAATGTCTTTTTTGTTCTTATTTGACTTCTCAGCACCATTCAACTCAGTTCATTGCTCCCTTCTTCTTATAAAGCTTTCTCCTCTTGATTTTCCTAGCTCCACACTTCCCAAGCGTCCTTTCTGCCTTACAGGCTATTCCTCAGTTTCCCTTCTTGTCTCCTCCTCATCTGCCCAACCCATAACCTCTAGCTGTTGGAAGGCCCCCAGGATGCACGGTTGGATCCCATCCTCTTCTCTTTCTGTGAGCCTCTCTGGGTGATCTCAAATGCTTACCGAGGACTTCCTAATCTACCTCCAGATCCCACCTCTCCCTGGAATTCCAGACTCATACCCATTGCCCCCTCTTTTATTTTGAGCAGTTTTACTGAGAGATAATTTACGTATCATAAAACTCACCCACTTGAAATGTAAAATTCAGTAATTTTTACTTAATATTCAAAGTTGTGCAACTGCCACCTACGATGCAGTTTTAGAGCAATTCTATCACATGAGAAAGTCCCCTTGTGCCAATTTACCGTCACTTCCCCTTCTCACCTCAAGCTCCTGGAAACCCCTAATCCACTCGCTGTCTCTATATATCTGCTTATTCTGGACATTGCCTACACTTGGAACCATGAGATATGTGGCCTTTTGCATACGACGTCTTTCACTTAGCATAATGCTTTGGAAGTTCTTCCATGTTGCATGATTCAGTACTTTATTTCTTTTACCAGGTAGTAGAAAACCTCTAGGCCAGTGCTGGCCAATGGAAATACAATGCAAGCCAAATTTCTAGTAGCCACATTACAAAAAGTAAAAAGAAACCAGTGGAATTAATTTTAATAATATATTGTATTTAACCTAACATATCAAAAATATTTCGATATGTATTAATGTAAAAAAATAATAAGCTATTTTGTATTCTTTGGGGGGGGTATTCTTTGAAATGTGGTGTTCATTTTACACATCTGCATTCAGACTAGCCATGCTTCAAGTGTTCCATAACCACATATGGCTGAGTGGCCACCGTATTGGACAGCACACCTCTAGACTCTAGAATCCCATGCAGCATTCACAAAAAGAGACTTTTAAAAAGAAAGAACAGAGCATTTATTTTCTCTACAGAAAACAGTGCTAAATGGGACTAGGGAAAGAAATGAAGGGAAGAGGAGAGTAATAGAGATCTGAAAATAGAACTCAGAACATATCAACACACAATTCCTTAATTCCTGACCAAAGTCGCAAGCAGTAACAAGAATGACTGAAGGTGGTTGAATTGGGAGCCAAAGACCAAAGCAGAGAAGTAGAAAGTTAGGGAAAACAAATTTGCTCTGCTTAATTTGATTATATGTCTGGGGTCTGGAGCAAAGTCCTAACAGACACCCATCTGAGGCAAATTATCACGTAGGCTCAAGACCCTGAGTAGGAGCCAATAGCAACCCCTGAAAGCGGGGAGCCAGCGGCCTGCGCTGACCATAAAGCACATCATTCCCCTCCAGGCAGCAATCAACTGTGCAGCTTTGACTCACAAAGGGACCTAGGGGGGGTTTCCTGCTCGACCTCCTTTTGGTTCCAAATTGCCCGCCTCCATGTATTCGTGATGGGCCAGCCACACTGCCCTTCTTTTAGTTCTGACCCAACACATTACTTTCCACCTTTGCACGTGCTGGTCGCTCTGCCCCGACACCATTTCCCCAGTTTTTCCTGTGGCTGACGCCTTTTCCTCCTTCAGTCTCAGCTTAAACAGCATCTCCCCTTGGAAGTCTCTCTGATCGCCCAACCTAAAGGGGGTCACCCCATGGCTGCCCCCTCCCACACACACCACACGCATAACCGTTCTCTACCCCAGCCCGATTTTTCATTCATGGCACTTATCACAGTTATAATTCTTTACTTAATAGTTTGTTTACTGTTTGAAATCCCTTTTCCCTATGAGGGCAAGAACCCTGTCTGTCTTATACACATTGTACCCTCAGTCTTGACCGAGTACAGTTTCTGTGCCTTTGGAGAGATCGATAGACAGATGAACAGACAGACAGGGCAGGGAGGGGAGAGGTGCGGAGATAGGGACCAAAGGGTGTGGGTCCTGCAGTGGGACGTCGGCACACCTTCAAGGCAGACTCTTGTCTGGCAAGGACCCTAATACACGCTCCTCCAGGTTTAGACCACATTCCAACCCTGGAGAACCCCACCACCAACAGCTTTTGGAGTCTGTTGTCTCAACTTCTAACAAGTATAATATAAGAAACCAAAAATACTCTGCCCTTTACCTTCAGAGACCTGTTGAGATTAAATAGAAATATTTTATAGTCGGTGGCTCAGTCATTTTCTAGAAGGTCAGACTGTCTGGTCCTGGTCGACACTGAGCTCTGTAATGGGCTATTAAATCTTGGCCTGAAAAGGTTACGCGCCCCCCGTCCCTTTAGAAGCAATGCACATTCATTCCTGAGGGGCTTTAGTAAATTGCAAAACCACCTGTATCTTTGGTGTAAGCCCTGGAGTTTACAGACTACCCAGAGCAATAAAAAGGTCAAAGAGCTAAAACTCAGAGATAATAAACTAAGAATTCTCTAGCCAAGAAAACAACAGAGCAGCAGCCAAAGGCATATATATAAGGGTAGCTGCTCCTGTTCCCAAGACGAAGCAGTGATATTATACATAACAAGGAATGTCAATTTGTAAGCACAGAATCTTTTTTATTTGTGTACTGGGATCAACCATGTTCAAAGATTCACTTCTAAGTGAAGGCGACCCAAAAGATGTTGTGTTTGCTCTAATTTATGGGTTTGGGTTATTTTTGAGCTGTGCTAGCAAAAGAGTACTTGAGAGAAACTGAGGATTTGACATGATACTTTATTTAATTTAAAAAAAACAAACTTGTAACTTTTCAGTCAAAGTATTCCACTTGGCACCACACTTCTCAGCTGTTTTCAATATTTCCGGATTGTTTCTCCCCATATAAAATAGATCTCAAATGAAATAAGAAGACCACTGATGCAGGTATAATCCTACTCTAGCCCCACTCTTAGAAGAGCTTTCTACAGACTGTAAGTCAATGTGCTCAGGTAAAGGTGAACCATCCGTTGACATTCAAAAGAATGAGTTAGCCATAATTGTGAGCTTTTTTTGGCCTGCTTATTCTATGCCTCTGCCGGCCCAACAGGCAAGAACTTCATCAATCTAAGTTGGTGCAAATTCTCCTGGCTGAAAATTCTTCCCTTTCACCCAATGCCCTAAGAATCCACACATACCTTTATCAGGCAGTAAATAACAAAAACAAAGATTTGGTCTCGGTTTCAGTTTTTTTCAGTAATTATGTAATTTATTAACTTTAGTTAATAATAATGTACCAATATTCGTTAGTTGTGACAAATGTGCCCCACTAATGTAAGATGTTAGTAACAGGGGAATTGGACATGTAATACATGGGGACTCTGTACTACCTTTGCAACTTTTCTTTAAATCTAAAATTATTTTAAAACAAAAAATTTATTAAAACTTCTCCATCCCAGCTATCAAAAGAAACACAGTGGGCTTCTCCACTGCTGGCTTACTAGAAAACAGGACTATGGCGAGTCTTCCAGATGGCTTTCTTCTCTCTGTTGCCCTTACACTTTCGAAGTTGCACTTTCCTGCAGTTTTGTTGTTGTTGTTGTTGTTGCTATTCAGCCCAAAACTCAGACAAAGGACTGGTGAATCCCATGTCAGAGCAAGGTATAGCGGAGGGCTAAATACACTTGGAAGGCCAAATGGGTCAGGAGTTATGGCCAGTCAAAACTATTATTATCATTTTCACTAAGGCCATTCAGGCCAGGGAAATAGTAAAAGGTTGCATGTGAGAGCACTCATGGCGGCGCTGGAGAGAAGCACTTTCTCATCTCTGATCTTATTTTTTACACAGAACATCTAGTTTTTGACTCCAGGGCATCTGATTTTGAAAATATAAGTAGCCACTAACTCACATGTTACACAGCATGAAAAGCATGACCTGAGAAACAGCCCCGTGACCATACACACCAATCTTTATCTTTAATGCTAGTCGAGAATGGTGCCCCATCATACCTCACTAACCTCCTCTCTAGGACTTTCTGTCTCTTCTCTTTAGCTACATTCTTGCTGTTGTGTTTCCCTCTTTGTGACCCACACTCCTTAATGGCCCCAATCACCTGGCCCAATACTCAAATGTCAGATTGGGCAGAAGGCAGAGGTGTGGGAGGAATGAAGAAAAGGCTATTGCAACTCACTCTTCCCTACTCTTTTCCCCCAGTCAATGAGTTTAGACAAAAATATATGCCCTTGTATAACCACCACCCAAATAAGGATATAGAACATTTCCCTCACTCCCCAAAGTTCCCCAGCTCTCACCAGCTGGCCCACATCAAACTGATTTATGGTGACAGACATTAGAGCAGTGGTTGCTTGGGGTGGAGGGTAGGGGGACTGGCAACAAAAGGCATAGGGGAACTTTTGGGGTGGTAGGGGTGTTTTATATTTTGATGTGAATGGTTATACCCGGGTGTATATGTTCATCAAATCTGATTTCTACACATAAAATGGGTACATCTTATTGTGTACAAGTTACATGCTGATAAAGTTGATTGAACACTTTCCATTGGTATTAGTTTAAAAGCCCTGGTTACTCTTCCAAGCCCTAGTTATTAAACTTCCTTGAAGCCTGTCCAGCTCTCCTGGGCCAATGGTGACCCTTCCTCTCCTGACTCACAGCTCGCAGAATCTGTACTGCTCATTTGGAAATTCATCCAGCCCTGGCTGGTGTGACTCAGTGGACTGAGTACCGGCCTGTGAGCCAAAGATTCCCAGTCAGGGCACATGACTGGGGTGGGGGCCATGTCTCCAGTAGGGGGCGCTCAAGAAGCAACCACACATTGATGTTTCTCTCCCTCTCTTTCTCCCTCCCTTCCCCTCTCTCTAAAAATAAATAAAAACTTTAGAAAGATAAAAAAAAAAAAGAAAGAAATTCATCCAGTTTTTCTGTGTGACAATGCTGTTATTTAGTTTTTTATGAATTCATGAGTTGTCTCCCAGCCAGATTTTAAGTGCCTTGGGGCTGGGAAATAGTTAAATTTCTCACCATTTCCTCTAAAGCATGGGGCTCACAAATAGCAAGCATCCGCAGATCTGGAGGCCCACTGGATAGTTTGCTGAGCGGACAGTGTTACAGGGGTCTTACATAACTAGAGCACAGCCACTGGGATGTGCACCCACAAGAGAGTGATCCAGTGAAGGGCAAGGACATGCTGTGGATAGAAAACCCCCGAGAGCCAATAAACGCCAGCCCCGTGACCCAGCACAACTCTCATCTTGTAATGCTTTTCCTGGCCCCAAGTCCTGGGTGCTCTCTAGGGCTGCTTTAAGCTGTCATCTTGGGATTTACTGGTATCATCACCTTGGAAATTCCCTTCATCTCTCTCATGTTGGCTCCCTATTTCCTACACCCCATGTTTCCTTTCCTTTTGGTGGAGCATGTCCTTCAGCCAATAGCCCTCTCCAAACAGAACATGATATATCTAACCGTGGGGCTAACAGGGCTCCAAGCAGGGCCCAACAGCTTCAGAAACCCCAGGTCAGCTCCTCCCCTCAGAGCTGAGCCTCACACCAGGTTCCAGGGCCACCAGATCTTGTTGTAAACCATCCCTGACCTTAGGACCTAGTTCATGTTCTGGTGACTTTTCTATTCAACACTCATTCAGTGACTATTAATTGAGGGCCAACTATGAGCCAGACACTGTTCTAGGCATTGGAAATAAAGTGATGGACAAAATAAGCCAGGAATTCCCTACTGTGGTTTAAGATAATGATACTGTTGGGGCATGGGGTGGGGGTATGACCAAAGACAATGAGCAAGTGGACAAATAATAAAAAGGATACTTTCATATGCTGATGAATGAGATGAAGAAAATCAAACAGAATTGTGGGACAGAGGTGGTGATTCCTTGACTTTGGGTAGCAAGGAGAGTCTCACTGAGGACGTGATATCTATGCTGACAACTGAAGGATAAGGAGCTTTCCATATAAAGATCTGGGGTAGGGGCATTCCAGGCAGAGGGAACAGCATATGTAAAGGCCCTGGGGCAGGAATAAGCTCAATGAGTTTTGAAGGGCAGAAACTTACTGGCTGGAGCACAGTAAGGGAGTAGAGAATGGTAGATGAGGTCAGGGAAGTAGGCAGAGGTCAAATGACATAAGGCCTCCTATGCCATGGAAACCTTTGGGTAGTTTTAAACCTAGTCCTCAGGCCCCTTAAGAACCAAACCCTGCCTTACACATATGGATTTTTATTTTTGGGGGCCTAGAATCCTGGTCACTCCAATAGTGTTCCTGAAAAGTATATGTCTCTGAAGTCCCACCCCCTCCCTACAGGGGGACCTCTTTATCACTTTGTCTTAGACCTTCCCCTACAACCTAAACCAAAACTTGTGTTTGCCCCCTATTTTCTGCAGCCAGATGGGAGCCCTCTCAGCATTGGTACCAGGGCCATAGACTAGAGACTGTAGCAGCCTACCCAGTCCTGGAAGGTGGCTGGTGTCAGGCCTCATTCTGCCAAGCGCCCCGTGTCTCAAGCTAAAACAGCTTAAGGGGTCACAACAGAACCCAGCAGGGAAGACAGCCCCTCCTCACAGGCCTCCGCCCCCTGACTCACCTTCACCCAGGGTCTGCTTGAGTAAGTCGTGCTTGGCCTGCAGCTTAGTGATGAGGTTACTGCCGTTCACATATTCTTTAAATTTCTGTAAGACACAAGGCACAAAGACATTAGAGGCTACAAGGCCAAGTCCCGCAATGTCTGCTCTGGAAGGGATCTCTGGGGCAGAAAGGTCAACAGGAGATCGGGCCACACTCCAGGACCGCAGTGAGGGGGCGTTGGTGGGGGGGCGGGGCCTCTGCAGCTGTTCCTCCGTACCTCTCTATCAGATCCCCGTTCTGCTGAGCATGGCTGCCCAGTCCTATGAGAGCTCCCAGCATTTCAGGTCCCTTCTGGGAGCACAAAGAAAGCTGGGCAAGTGGCGTGGAATGGGAGCAGTGAAAGGGCACTTTTGTCAGGTGAGGACTGTGGGAGCCCTGAGCAGAGGGCTTCTTAGGCCATCAAAGCTCCGCTGTGCTTCTGGGCCAAGAGCAATGAAGATGGATCCATCCCTGGGGGCACAGAGCTGAGGCAAGAGACCTTTATCAGATCTGTCAGAGAGGAACTTGGAAACAGGTCTTCCTTTCATCTGGCCTGGCTCTGAAGAAGGAAGGGCTCTGCAGGCCCCTAGAGACGATCCTATTAAACTAACCCCAACTGCACTGGGGGATATGTTTTCTTCTTTTCACAGATGAGACAGGTGAGGCTGGCACAGGGAAGTGATGCACTCCAGGCCCTCAGGATCCCCAGGCTGCCTCGAGCTCAGGGGTCTGGCTAAGCACAATGCACTCTAAGCAATGGGGAGGGACAGGGCTGCCCAGAATAGAAACATATCTACCTGTCCCGAGTTCAGCAGGGCTTCAGCCACACCTTCACACAGGTACCAACTTCCCTCAGCTCCCCTGCTGCCCTGCATCACCAAACACAGGGCTGGAGCCCCTCTGCTGCGGCCTGCTTTTGCTGGACCAGGAGCCAATGTAGGTGTGATCTGCACCCACTGTAGGTGTGATCAGTGACTGCTATATGCCTGGTATATAGAAGATGCTGAGAGATTTAGCTAAATCCCTGACTTGGTGGAGCTGATGCAGCAGAGTGAGGAGAGAAACAGTAAAATGACAAAAAAAAAAAAAAAGTAAGTAAAATACACTATTGATCAGACAGTAGGGAATGCTCTGAATGAAAATAAGGCAGAAATAGAGGACTGCGAGTTGGGGCAAATCTCGCTGCAAAGCTGACATGACCTGAAGGAGACAAGGAGGGAGTCGCGTAGGTACATCAGGGAAGGAATTTTCTAAGTAGCCAGAATGGCAATTATAAAATCCCCAATAATTAAGGCACATGAATGGATGTGATTGCCCCAAACCTAACAGCCAGTTTCTCACAGAAAAATCTATTCCATTGGCATAGGCAGAATGTTCAGGTAGGGGTACAGAGGAGCAGAGAAATAAGCCATGGAGGCTCAGGATGCCCCAATACTCCCTGTAAAAGAGCGTCTGGAGCGCACCATTCTCTATGAACACAGCTGTACAGGCAAGGCCCATGGCGTGGAGGCTGACATGTGTACACGTGAGGCTGGGTGGGGCCACCTCACCCTGTCCCTACCTCAGTGGGTTTCTGCAGTGGCTCGGCTGGTGGAAGGCTGTGGTGTCCCCTCACTTTGGCCATGATCTTTCTTAGCCCCTACAACCTTGTCCCTTGGTCATGAAGAGTCGCTCCCCCTTGTACCTATACAGGACTTGACAGTTCTCAAACACATCCACGTGGCCATCGCCACAATCTCCATAGCAAATATGGGGAGCATCATCATTCCCATTCTACCCAGGAGGAGACAAGAGCTCTGAGCTGTGGTGGCTCAGTGTATGGCCTTGGACAGATTATTGAACATTTTTGGGCCTCCATGGCCCCTTCCTTGTAAAAGGAGAGTCAGCTTGCAGTTTTCTCCAAGTGTGGTTCAGGGACCACGGCCTCCCACCCATCTGGGAAGAGGGTTAAAATGCAGCTTCCTGCTTTGGAATAAGGAGAATCTAAGCCCTAATTTTACACCCGAGGAGAACATCACGGAAGCCCAGAGGTGTTCACCATTCCAGGGCCCCACCTTGGGGAGGATAATAGTAGTTCGGGAACATGTTTCAAACAAGCTTCCCACATGACTCAGATGCACACTTCAGTTTAATGACTACTCTCCTAGAGGCTCTCTCTGAATGCTTCCAGTAGTAATGGCCCTGATTTCATCATGTGTTTAAGAATTCACCATAAAAAGCACAGCTAAGGTATAAATAGATATTTTCTCTCCCATGCTCTACTGCCCCTGGTAGTTGAAGCGCTAATCCCAAAACATAATAAGCCTTGGTGGTTTATTCACTTACACCCTCGGTCTCTGGGGCCTGTGGACTCTGCTCACTTCTTCCAAGCTTCACCATGGCTTCATGTGTAACCCATGAAGGAAAGAAGGCCATCAAATTGTACTGATGGAATATTTATGTCCTTATAATATATGTCCAAAATAATTTTACAGAATCAAGTCATGATTTTTGTACTAGCCAACCAGGTTGATAAATTGAATACTAACCTGAACATATAACATCAGTGACCCTTAATCATAGATGTTGGTGAATTCTCTTATAGTTTCAACCAGGCTGGATCCCCTATTCTGCCCTGCCACCCAGGTTCCTTTGCTTCTGCTGCCAGAGTGAATCAATACTCATATGTACTCCTCACTTTCCTCTGTAATTCACGAACTCTCCCTGTAAACAGAGAAGGTCCCCAGTAGAAGTGGTGAACACCAGAAACTGGCATCGGCTGATTGACTGAGACTAGCTATATTTTCTTCCTCGAAAACAACATGGTCAAAGAACATTGATGGTGTAAATGCCGTATGTGTCAACTATTGGTTTTTAACAAGGGAATGACAGGGGTTGTCACAAGATGAATGTTAGAATTGGATGAGTTTGTGACTGGTTAAATGACCACAATCTAAAAGTGCTGGTTAGTGGATCAATATTAGTCTAGTGGCATATTTTGAACAACTCTGTCTTTGGCCTTGCCCCTGACAAACCATTTTTCTTTTTTATTGAAAAACTTTAAGGTTGAAAGCCTTGCTCACTGAATCTGCAAGTGACACAAGGTCTGATGAGACAGCATATACAGGGGTGAGCAAAAGTAGGGTTACTGTAGTGTGCCCATGAAATACAAACTTTAGTCTTGTATTATTTATTATTTACTCTATTATTTTCCATGTGAACAACTGTCAATCTACTTCTGCCCCACCCCCTGTATGTTGAACTGGATCAGGACCTTGACAGTCTGGAGCCATGAACCGAACCCCTCAAGAGGCAACCTCACTGGTGGTCAACATAAGCCCTAGCCCAGACATCACTTACACACCCTTTAGAAGGAGGGCTACCTGGTTTATGTCAGTGTGTAGGGAACAGATTTAACTGGCATAAACCTAGTTTTATTTTTAAAAATGAATATGATCTTAGGGTATATGAAAAGGGGCATAGCACCTACTATGAAAGGAGGTGGAAGGTCAGCCCAATTCTTTGCTGGTCAGACCACACCGCTGGCAGTCTCACTTTGGAAGAGCCATTGACAAATGGAACATGTTCTGGGGAGAGTCACGAGGATACTGAGGCCGCTCAAAATATGGGGCAGCATTGAAGGAACCAGACATGTTTAGCCTGGAGAAACGAAAACCCAGCTCCCTGCAACCATGCCAAAGACTGTCCCCTAGACTTCGCCTCTTCCTGGATCACCCCAGAGAACAGAATCGGGATCAATGACCAAAAATCCTAGTGAGGCAGATCTTTGAAAAGAACAGAGATAAGGCAAAACCGTATAATATCTATAGCCAGCCACAAGCCAAGCAGAAGGGTTGTTTGGGGAAAGAGGGAGCTTTTCATCTCAGGGCTGTTCAAGCAGAGTCTCGATGACTTTTTGACAGGGTTATGGTTGAATGGGATCAAGCATCAGATGGAGGATTTAAGGCCCCTTACAAACCCAAATTCTGTGTTCACCAAATACATGTTGAACTAAAGCCCTTTTGCCTCTTATCCTTGCTCCTCCCTCTCCCTGGCTGAGTGGACAGACAGCCATCTAGGATTTTATATAAAGGGCTCACAACTCACCAGCAATTTGCATGGATCACACATGGCATTGTTTCCAAAGCCTGTACCCCAATTTAAGACACTGCAACACGACAACCACCCACTAAACTTTAGGGATGTTAAATGGGGCTTGCACCTGGCACCATTACCATTTTCCTCTTACCCTACTGAACACATTCTCTGTTTTTTTTTTCCTCGAACAGGAAAGTTGCAATAACTGACACTTCAAGATCAATACAAATACCATCACTGATAACTCAATTTCTGCATTTCACAAAACCAGGAAACTTAATTTGAGAAGCATGTTGGAAAAATTGTAGGTCTAACTGACTCATGTGGTTTTGCTGGTTCCCACTGCTTGGGCTGCTCCCCAAAAGTCAATGCCAGCGGGTCAACAGACAGCAGGTTCTGGGTCCACTTACTGTAAAATAAAACATTTCTGTTTCCTGCTGGTTGGCTCTCCTTTTGGCAATGTTGATCTTGCTCATGTAGGTCTCAGAGGCAGCTGACTTTACAGACTCTGTGGACCGACTATGTTGGAAGGCGTCAGAGACATCAAAGTCCTCCACAGTCAGCATGTCCTGTAAGGTCTGCATGGTGGCATCCAGGGTTTTTCTCACCTGGGAAAAGATGTCAACAAAAATCCTTTAGCCTGAGAATGCCTTTGACACCTCAAAGTCCTTTTCCCAACTGTTACTTTATTTCTTCCACACAAAGCCTCTTGGAGGCAGGCAGGACAAGATAATCATTCTTATTATATTGATGTACAAACTGAGGCCAGTTAGCTGGCTGGGGTGAGAACCCAGGTTGCCCAATCCAAAGTTGGTTTATTGAATTGCTTCATCCAGAGAGAACCTTGGAGAATATCGTAACCACAAGGAACTCAGGTTTCTAGGTTTGTTTCTCTTTACCTGGTTTTATATAGCCCCAAACTAGCTCCTTCAACGGGAGGCAGGTCCCTTGAGGAAGGATAACACTAGAAATACTCTTGGTTCTCTTCAGGGAGGGAACAAAGTCTGTGTAAGTTGAGCATACATCCTCAGTGAATGAACTCTCCCACTACCTGCCACCTGAGTCCTATCAAAAGTCTGACAGAAGAGAGAACCTCAAGGAAGACAGATGCTGAGACACCACTGCCTAGTCATTTCTCCAGGAGTCTAACTTCTCCCTTGGGATCGAATGGGACCCCTGGAAGGCTACACATGCATGGCACGTGAACCCCCACCTCACAACATCCCTTCCCTGACTTAAGCTCTATACTCTAATGGAGCATCATACCAAAAGCAATTCCAGGAGAACCTGCACCTACATTCATCATTAAATTACTGTTGCTCAAAATCTCTTTCTTGTTACTCAGGTTTCAAAGTAAATGTTTCACTCAGGTCTCAAAGTAAATGTCACCTCGTGGTGACATCAGGTGCCCCTCTATCTACAATTTTTAACTTAGTGCCTATCCCTAATACTTTGCATACTTATTCATGTATTGGTTTGTTTGCTTTTGTGTTTGCATTACTATTTATCTTTTCTCACTAGAATATAAATTCCATGTGAGGAGCTACTATGCTTTTTTACTCACTCACTCTACTCTGCATTTAGCACATAGTACGTGCTTAAGAAATACTCGAGTAAGTATTCGCTAAATACTTGTTGAATGAATAAACAAACAAATCAGTTCTTTCAAACATAGCCTGACAGTAGCTCAGGTGCAAAATCAAGAATTTCCATGACCATGAATGGCCTATACAAAGGAACACTTGCTTCATTCTTTCTGTGGCCCCGATTTCCAATTTAAATTCCATTAACATTATTATCCATATATTATTCCATGTGAACAATTTGCAATGTTTCAGGGAAAGATGTAGGCACAAATAAATAAAGGAAACAGTTTGTTAGGTTTGAAAAACAAATACATCATTTGTCTCCTCATTACCTCCCTCTAGTAAGTGCTTTGATCTGCCATCATCCTGAGAGATGATCTGTCCCACATTCGCCAGAGCTCTGTCCTTTGTGGAGACACAGAGTGAACCAGCTTCTCTGCCCAAGACAGGCAGCCCTCTTGAGATGTGAAGACAGACTCATGGCTCCCCACCTCCAGCTGTGAATGCTTCTCAATGATAAACCTGCCCATGATCCTGGGTGACACTCCCCACATCCTGGTGTCCTCCACTTGGTTGACATCCTCCCTGCATGGAAGCGTCCAGGATGGAATAGAAGGTTTCCCACCTGGCCTCATCATCAGTCCACAACAGAATGGAACTGCGACAGCTGGGATTTCCATTTCTACCCTCCCAGTGGCAATCCTGTGTCACCAGCTGCATGGGAGGTATGCTGGCATGGTAAGACAGAAGTTCCTTGGCACTCAGAATCCATGACACATTTAGTGTGCTTGGAGTTATTTATTATTTAATTGTATAAGTTAAAATATTTATTATTTCTGATAATAAAAATAACATTAACTCATCACAGAAAATAGAGAAAAGCACAAAGAAAACAGAAATCACAACCCAGACATAACCACTATTAACCTTTTCAAGTACTTCCTTCCAGTCTTTTTTCTATGCCTGTGAATACACGCAGATACATATGCATATACTCTAGTTTACCCTAGTTATGATAATACTGAACATACAGTTTTACTTTCTCTTTGTGTTTCTTTAACTTAATATCTTGTGAGCATCCCCCCTTACCATTAAAGATTCTTGGTATGCATGGCTTTAATGGTTGTACAGTAGTCCATCTTACAAATGAACCCTCACTTCTTATGTGTTCTTTGGCGAGTGTGTGGACTCCCCAGGACAATCTAGGCCTTTGTAAGGAAATCCCTTATAGGGCAGAGGGGCTCACTCACCTCCTCATTCTCTATCTTGAGAGTGGCCAGTCTGGACTGCAGCTGGTGGTACCGCATGAGTAATTCTGTCTGGACAGGCTGCTGAGCACTGACTTGACACACCTGTAGAAATAACAGTCCCCACCTGCAGTTGCCGAGGGCCCTCATCACCTGTGTGGAGTTGGGGCCAACGCTATTGCAAATATCCCTATCAAAAGCTGAGAGAACAGACTTGGAGACCTTAAATGTCCTGCCAAAAGTAACACAGCTTATACCTGGTAACACTAGATGGGAACGAGAGGCCGCCCTCTTGAATTGCAACATTGGCCTCTCAGTCATGGTCTTCTCCATTGTGCACTCTTGAGGGTTTACTAAGAGTTCTGACGTAATTTCATTAAGTGAAACTAGTTAATTTCCAGGTGGAAAGTTGTAGTAATAAAGCAACCACCTAAGAGAAGCCAATGAAAAAAGTAATAAGCAGGTAACAACCAGCCGATGCTCCTATTCCCCAGCAGGAAGGTGCTTCGCTCACAGAGCTTCCTCCCCAGATGCTTGATTGGGTGAGAGGTGGAGAAGGGGAAGAGTGGAGAGAAATACTGCTCTCCTACATCCATTCCACTCAGGGCTCTGTCACCACCTGTGGCCTGGGCTGCCTGAGGTGACTCAACTGAGAATATCAGGGACAGTTGGGTTCTGTTATTTACTAGTTATTTACCACTAACTAGACAACCCAAACATCACAGTCACCAATGGTAACCATGAAGTCAGAATATTCAGGTCCAGATGATGGGCCAAAAGGGCTAGGTGTGAGGAATGGGGCAGGTGCTGCAGTAAGCCCTGCACAGGCCTCTTATCTGCAAATGAAAAAAGTGCGTAGAACCATCTGGAGGGTCCAGCAAATGCTGTCAGCTAAGGAGCCTCCTTATCCCTTCCTGTCAAGCAAGTTCAGTGGACGGTCCGGCTGAGCTCGCACAGGATCCAGAGGCTGGTGGGGTCCTTCCTGTACACTGTTGGTGTGGGTCCCCTGAACTCCCATGTGCATGGTTGGGATATATCTAGGTGGAGGAACTTTCTTCGCTGGGAGGAAGTTCTATGCACACATCCCTGGAGTAGAGATAATAGAGAGGGAGGCAGATAATCTGGTGGCTCTCCTCCAACATTCCAAGCCTAGGGACTGAGCCCTAGACAGAGGGGAAAATGATACGGAAACACCCAAGGAACTATTTACATGAGGAATTTTGTGAAACTTGGGTAACTAGTGTGCTGCTTTGGGGCTAGTGACAAATGCCTTATCCTGTTTTCTCCCTCTCAGCATACAGCGAGGATCTGAGCAGCACAAGCACTGGAGGAGACCGAGTTGGTGGCATGCTTCCTGCACTGGAGGACCGGCAGTGCCCTGGGGAGGTTCTGGCCACAGTGGCTGGGATGAGGCCCAGCTTCCTGGGATCCGAGGGGAGAAAGTATGCAGATGTGGGACTCTCTTGGGGTCTTCTGGACATAAGTACGGGGATTTTAAGGAGCACTAAGCTCCTGCAATTCTGCAGGTGGGAAAGTTGAACTGGCAAGGTTAAAGAACTAATGGTAAACTCCTTGGCTGGGGAAGTCCTTGAGCCAAGAACTTGACCCCAGGCCTTAAGATAAACATCTTGCAGTGGAACAGGGACTAACGGCCCCCTCCCACTGATGTTCCAGGAGCACACTGGAGGACAGGCTGAAGCAGACGCCAGCATGGGCTCCTGGGAGACACGTACCTCATCCCCCATGTGTGGCTGGAACTCAAATTTGAGTGGAGGGCAGAAGACTTGGTTGTACATGTCCATGACGGTGTGCTTGTCGCTTCGGGAATCCAGGTTGTCCACTGCGTTCTCGATGACATCCAGCCCCTCGTGGCGAGAGGTCTCCAGGTTGTACTCAGCGGAGAGGTAGGTCCGGAAGGTGCGGGCCAGGCTGGCATGAAAGCCCAAATCACAGCACTTGGAAACAGGTACACAAGAGAAGGGTGCAGGTGAGGGTTGTGACATGAAGGTGGGGACCACCAGCATTTCCTATCCCATCATGATGACTTAGAATTACCTCTCATTCCATAGTCAAAATCTTTCATCCTGCGGACCCTTGTACATTTTGGAATCCTACCACACAAATCACCAAAGCCCTCAAGGGGAGTTGGGGATTGCAATTTGGGGAAAGCAGAACTTCTCTCAGTTTCTCAAATTCACCACATTCTTTCTCATCTCTAGGCCTTCACGCATGCATTCTTTCTGCCTGCATACTCTCCCCTTCTCCTCCTGCCTAAAAATCCTTCCTTCAGGTTTCAGTTTAGAGGTCACTTCCTTTAGGAAGTCTTCTTTGATGTTCTCCCTACTCAGAGCTTCTGTCAGATGCACTGCCTCCAGGGGTCCACGTCTCCCTCCACCTCCCTCACTGTGACACCGGCCACGTGGCATTGAGACTACCTGTTAACATGTCAGGGTTATGTCGAATAAGCTCCATGGGGGCAGAACCACCGGCTTTTGTCTACAGTAGCACTTCAAGATCGAGAGCTACTAGCTGCTCAATAAAAATGTGGCAAATAAAAAAAATTAAAGGGCTGGAAAGAATGAATAGGAACGTTGGAAGAAAGAGGTGGGGTGGAGGGGCGGCGTCTGCCTCAGGCCCTGGAAGGCACAGGCAGGGCCCGGAAGATCCTTCTGCTGGGGATGGTGGTAATCGGTCCCTCCGCAGCCTTCCTGATGGGATACACCGAGGCTGGAGGAGGAGGAGCCATTCACCACTAGGGAATCCTTACTGAGCATCTACTGGACAAAATCCCCATCTGCAGGGAGGGGGAAGACGCAAGAAGCAGTCGCAGTTCCAACAGAGATGACAGGCCGCCCCTGATGACACTGCTCACAGCGTTCGTTCTCCAGGCACCGTGGTCCCCCCAGCCTGTCCTTTGCAGTTGGTACTCAGGAGTCAGTGTTCCATTCTCCTTTGGCTTAAACTGCCTGATTTCTCCAACAATAAGACAGTATTTTTGATCCAGGGTTGGGAATCCGTGTAGGCAGAGGGCCAACTATCTGTATTTGTCCTACACCATCTTATATCAGGGAATTGACCATCTGCAGTTAGCGAGGGACGACTGTAGTTAAGGTTTGAGGGAGTTAAAAGTTATACGTGGATATATGAGGGGGGAGATTGGCTCCCTGAACCCCCACAATATTCAAGGATCGGTTGTAATTCTCTCTCACTCACTATTTTCTTTCCTGTGTGTATGTCTGGCAGACTAGACCTGGGGGTGCTGAACATGTCTGTACTACTCTGGGAAATCCCTAGGGTATGAACTATGGACAGTCATTCCCATACCCCCAAACCCGCCACGGGTCTGGTGTGGAGAAGGGTACTTCGGAATTGACTCCGAACGTATGCCTGACCCAACCGTGTAGGGTCCACCATAGGCCCACTCCACCCATGGAAGTAGAAACTCATCTCCCAGGCTCCACATGCTTAGTGCCCTTCCCTTCCACCCTGGAACGTCAGCTAAGGACAGGGTCCAGCCCCTCCTTCCGCTGATGATTGGCGCCAGCCCAGGTGTGGGGCCCTTTCAGTCCCAGACTCCAGGTGCTCACGTCGATTAGGTCGGAGACATCGTGGATGTAGTATTTGCTTATAGCTGCGTTGGTGGCAGCCAGATTCAGCAAATAGTCATTTCGGGCCTTCGTGCACTTCAGCTTGTTCTCAGAATACTTTGCCTGCCTCTGGAGGAAAGAAAGAGTAGATGTGAAAGTTGAGCCATTGATGGAAGGGATTCGGGATTTTCTTTATGCTCATTGCAGGTGATTCAATCCATTGCACCACCTCTCTAGAATACCTTACTCCATGGACTAGGTAAGATTTGGGCCCTGTACTCAAAAGCTCACTGAGCCCTAGCTGGGTGGCTCAGTTGATTGGAGCATCGTCCTGTACACCAAAAAATTTACAGGTTTGATCCCTGGTTAGGGTGAGTACAGGACACAACCAATCAATGTTTCTCTCCCCCAACACCACCCCTCCTGCCCCGTTCTCTCCCCACCGCCCCCACTTCTTTTCCCTCTAAAATCAAGAAACACAACCTTGGTGAGGATTTTTTTTTTAAAAAGCACTATTCCCAACAACAACACTCTTCAATAAGCAGCAGCCAGCAGCCTTTTACTGGCCTCTACCAGAGCTGAGTCAGTAAGACCTCCTGAGGCCCCTACTCAACAGCCCTCAGTGGCTGCCCAAACTGTGATGATGGCCTCGGTGACCTCTTAAGCCCTCCTTCCTCGATGATCTCCCTCATCACCAGGCTCTTCTGCGCATCCTTTAAGAGGTCAAGTTCATTCCTGCCTCTAGGTCTTCAGACTAATTGTTCTTCCTGCCTGGCAGGCCATCCTTCCAAGTCTCTATGTGGCCTCGTCCTTCATATTATTCAGGCCCTTACCTGAGGTGACATGGTCAAATGGGACTCTGATGGCAGCCTTGTCCAAAATGTGTTGCCAGAGTCTCCACTATCCCTCCATCCGCTCTCTATGTCTTCACTCTGTTCTATTTTTTCATATATTTAATCTTTGTTCAATTTTCATTTAATTTTTTAAGACCCAATTTTGTAGAGTAGTTTTAGGTCTATAGCAAATCTGAGAGGAAGGTACAGAGACTTCGAAGTCCATGTGCCTCTGCCGCCACATATACACTACCTTCCCCGTTATCATCATCCCCTGCAGGAATGGTACGTTCATTAATAATTATCACATAGAGTCCATAGTGTACCTCAGAGATCATTCTTGGTGTTGTACATTCTTATCATTAGAGTATCGTCCAGAGTAGTATCCCTGCCCTTAACACCTGCTGTGCTTGCTTTTTTGACTCTTTCCTCCCGGTAACCCCTGGCAACGTCTCATCTTTTTACTGCACCCATAATTTTATCTTTTCTAGAATGTCATACAGTTGGGAGTCATACAGTTTGTAGCCTTTTCAAATTGCCTTCTTTCACTTAGTCATATGCATTTTAAGGTCCCTCTATATCTTTTCATGGCTTGCTAGCTCATTTCTTTTTGGATCTGAAATATTTAGTCAATGTTCCGTTGTTAGCTTTACCGCAGTTTACTTATCCATTCACCTACTGAAGGACATCTTGATTGCTCTATTTTTTTCTTCAAAAGCACTTTTTACCACCCCAAATTATATTTTTTACTTCCTTGTGTACTTGCTGAATTTCAATGTCCCCCACTAGAAAGTAGGCTCTGTGAAGTCAGGAACTTGATCTTCCTTGTTCATCGCTGGACCTGTAGCTCCCTGAACAATCCCGGCACAAGGCAGTCATTAAATGATTTTCACTGGCTGTCTGGATGTGAGCGGTGGGAGAGGCAGAGAGGGGCAGCCGAGGGGCTGGTCTCAGGTCAGAGCCACACTGCCTCCCTAGGAAGCTGCTAATTTTGGGCTGACTAGGCAAGAAGGAGTAAAGAGTGCATGGGTTGGAGAGCTGTGCCCTCACCCCTTTCAGACTAATGAATCCCACTACTGGGTAAAAAGGCAGCTCTCCTTAATGAAATAGGGTTTCCTCCTTCCCCTAGACACTCTTAAACCTTCCTTATTCCAGATTGAGTCCTCCTAGCTTTTTAGTAGAGGTGTCCCCAGAGATCTCCTTGGACCTTTCTCCAGGGTCCACTGATTCTGGGAAATTCCAGAAACAGGCTTGTGGCAGTTACATCCTGCACCAGCCATGCATCCAACCCCCACAGATAGTTTTGATATTCCTGACCAATTTGCAGGGGGCTACTCTGACCCTGAGACCATTTCAGCCCTTCAAGGACTCATAAAACTGTATACCTGGGAAGGATATTAAAGGTACCTTAGTTTAAGTCATCCATTTTATAGGTGAAGAAATGAGAACTGAAGAGGAGAAGTAGTTTGTCCAAGAGCCAAACGGCTAATTAGCATACAACTCTGAACAAAAAATTAGTCTCCAGGCTACCAGATAGTATTCTCTCTACCCCTCTCTATATCTTCCTATGTTATAATTCTGTAATTCCCAGATTATCTTTTTTTTAAAGTATATTCACAGAATTATACAACCATTACCACTATCTAAATTTAGAATATTTTCATTACCCCGAAAGAAACTCTGCACCCATTAGTGGTCTCTCCCTATTCTCCTCTGCCCCAGGCCCTGGCAACCACTAGTCTACTTTCTGTTTTTATGAATTCATCTATTCTGGACATTTCATATAAATAGAATCCTATAATACATGGCATTTTGTGACTGGCTTCTTTCAGTTAGTATATTATTTCCATAATTCATCTATGTTATAGCATGAATCAGCACTCCACTCTTTTTTATGACTAAATAATATTCCATTGCATGGATAGGCCACGTTTTATTCATCTCTTCATCAGTTGACAGACATTTGGGTTGTTTCTATTATTAGGCTAGTATGAATAATGCTTCTATGAACATTCATGTGCAAGTTTTTATATAGACATATGAGGTTGGAAAGGAAAAAGCCCAGCCATTGTTAATATAATAAGAATGTTTGTGCAACATCAATGTAACCTGGCAGTCAAGGAAAGTGGGCTAGAAACTGCATGTGTGAACAATGATGACTTCACTGTACTAGTCAGTGGAGGCGGTAGATACCGTTGAATGAGCGTGTGTACTGTGTGGCCATCTCATTCAAAAAGACTGAGCAAGTAGAGCAATGAATCTTAATCAAATTTTGCCTTAAGCTAGAACATTCTTCCACGGAAACTATAGGATGATTCAGAAGGTCACAGCTAAGAGCAACTGGTGATTGGCAGCTTCATTACAACAACACACCCACTCATGCATCATGTCTTGTGCAAAGTTTTTTGATGAAACACCAAGAGAGGTGACTCAGCCCCTCTACAGCCCAGATTTGGCACCCTGCAACTTCTGGCTTTTTCTAAAACTAAAATCACCTTTGAAGGGGAAGAGATTTCAGGCTGATGATGAGATTCAGGAAAATAAGATGGGGCAGCTGATGGTGACTGGGAGAACTGTGTAAGGTCTCAAGGTGCCTACTTTGACAGGGACTGAGGTGTCATTGTCCTACGTACAATGTTTCTTAATATCCTGTGTCTTCTTCAATAAATGTCTATTTTTCATATTACATGGCTGGGTGTATCTGGACAGACCTGTATGTTTAAATTTTTCTTGATACCTAGAAGTGGAATTCTTAAATCATATGGCAACTAAGTCTACATTTAACATTTTGTGGGATTGCCAAAATATTCTCCAAAGTGACTGAATCATGTTATATTCCCTCCAGCAGTATGCAAAGGTTCCACTTTCTCCACATCTTCATCTATATTTGTCATTGTCTGCCTTTTTTATTTTAGCCATCCTAATGGATATGAAGTGGTGTCTCCCTGTGGTTTTTATTTCCATTTCCTTAATGACTAATGATGCTGAGCATCTTTTCATGTGCTTATTGGCCACTTGTACATGTTCTTGGGAGAAATGTCTATTCAAACCCTTTGTCCATTTTTTAATCAAGTCTCTGCCTGATTCTTGTAGAGCCTATTTTTCTTTGCATTTGACAATTACCCTGAAATCTTATTTTATTTGCCTCTGGTTACTTTTCCAGCTTACCCAGGTCCTACTGGATCTTGTTGCCACTTAATTTCCTATAATTTTCAAGAGCTGTAGGATCATATCATCATAGAATCAATCTCATTGAAGCCCAAATAAACTTCTGGTACAATGTTTGACACATAGAAAGACCTCAGGAAATGTTTGCTGATTCCATGGAATGAATGAATGAATGAATGAATGAATGAATGAATGAATGAAGAGACTTCAACAACGAATCATAGCCTCTTAAGAAGAAATGAACCTTAGAAGCCACCTAGTCTAGGACAACAAAAAAAACAACCTGTGCACTGCCCCTCTAAATTCTGCCCATGGCAGACATTTATTGATCACAGGACTGTTTTTAGCTGAAGTCTGGACCAGGCTCATGATTTTTGACACAGAGATCTGGGCAGTCACTACCAAAGTATAAGAGTTGACATGAGAGGGGAGATTTATTTGCAATCATTGTCAGATTTCAAAACTGAAGTTCAGAGAAGCATTATAAATGTGCATTTTCAAAACTCTGTCTATCTGACTCCAAAACCAGCATTTGCTTCACCATGTCCTACTAAAGCAACTTCCAGCACTGATACACAGCGATTCTAAATCACCTATCTTTGCTTTGACAATGACAATTTTGGAATGGTTCTTTACCAAGTTCCCAGGTGCTGGTCGGTTGCCTTGTGCTGTTCCCTCTTGTTGGGGCACACTCAGTCCCAGCCAGCCCCTAGCCACCTAACTGACTCCTGGGGCAAGCTCCTGCCACCACTAATGCCTGGTGACTCCTGCCCATCAGAGAATGCACTCGAGGGGCATGAGTCTTGTCACAGTTCAGCGCTCTTGTCAGCTGAGCACCTCTTCTTGCCTGCTGACCCTGGCAAAAGGATCAGATGCGGGCAGCATTATTGTCCCCTCACACACCCCAGGCCTCAGTGGGGGTCAGGGGGCAAGGCTGTCAAGGGGCATGGCCCTTCCCTTCCCACCTCAGGGCCCACACTCACCTTCTCCTTCATCTTCTCAATTTTCTTCACAGAGCTGCGGCGCTGGGGCCGGTCCTCATGACGTAGCAGGTTCATGCTGAGCTCTCCCGCCTTGTTGAACTGCTTCTCCTCCTGTTTCTCAGCCTCCTTCAGCTTGCTCTCCGCACTGATGCTCTCTGCATGGTACATGTGGTAGGTCTTCATGACCTGAGGACACAGGAGTGTGGGAATCAACAGGCTATTAGGGCCCAGCCTGGGCCCCCTAAGTTCTGTGCCACAGTCTGCTCAGCCCTCCCTCTTCCCATGATACACTCTGAGCTCCTGCAGTTCTTTACTTCTGCACAAACTCTCTGAGGACCAACAATGATGATGATGATCAGTAGCAGCTTCATCATCATCATCATCATCATCATTGTCATCGTCATTGTCATCAACACCATCATTAAGTCCTTATTAAGTACCAGGAATGGACAAGTAAAGAGAAAATTTAAAAGGGCACTCACAGTCCCAAGCATCTGAGGTCTCAGAGGTGATAAGGGAAAGCTGGCTCTTCCTCAATTACCCTCTCTAGTCTGCTCCCTCCTGCAGGGCCATTGGGAAAGCCCCTCCTCCAATACTCATGGAGCTTCCACGGGTATATTCTTCTTACTCCCATACAAATTATTTTCTCTGCTGTTTCTTTAAGTAAAATTGGCCTACAAATCGCTCTGTCCGCAAAAGGAATACTACCAGGTAACTGAATTCATATCTTATGCTCTCTGAACTAAACTCATCCTTGGCTATAAAATGACTGTAAAGTATATTGCACTCTGCTACTCTGCATCCATAATAAAAGCTGTTTATTGTTATAACAAGGAATTTTTGAGTCAGAGAAAATCCTGGGTGTCATCTAATCTGATGACCAAATTTTATAAATAGGGAAACTGAGGCCCAGAGGGCAAAGTGGCTTCTCCAAGATCATACAGTATTATCAGCACAGTCTCCAGACTTTATGTCCATGTGGCCAACCCCACAATCAAGACATAGAGCATGTCCATCACACTGAAAAGATCCCTTGTGCCTCTCTGCAGTCAATCCCCACTCCTACCCCAGACCCAGGCAATCACTGCTTTGTTTTCTGTCACTGTAGAACTGTATACACAAGGAACCATAGAATATAAACTCTTTTGTGTCTGTCCTCTTTCATGCAGCATAAGTTTTTTGAGATTCCCCTATGTTGTTGCAGGTATCAGAAGTTTTTTTTATTGCTGAGTAGCATTCCATTGTATGACTATACCACAATTTGTTTATCTATTCATATATTGATAGTTATATGGATTGTTCACAGTTTTGTAAGGCTACTATGAATATTCATGGACAATTCTTTGCATGAACATATGTTTTCATTTCTTAGATAAATATCTAGAAGTGGGGTGGAGAGTCAGGGTAAGTGTATATTTAGCCACATTAGAAATCTGGTCTGTGACTTTTAATCCACCATTTTTCTAACATATAATACTGTTTCCTTAATTTATTACAATTTTCTCAGCAGTTGAAATAGGGCAGCCTTGGACCATTATCCTGTTTCCTGGTCTCCAACTAAAAGTACACTTTTCCTTTGCAATATCAAATGTATGATCAACTTTCTGTGCTAAGAAACACAAGAAATCCCGGAATACATGGTTTGTGGGTCTTGTTCATTCTCTTCTCCTGTTATTTGGACAATTACAGCAGCTAATGGAGCAGAGGCTTCCGCCTGGGGATGGGAAGTGCTCCTGCCTAACAGGCCCTTTAAAGTCAGGGAACTTGGAATGAAATACTGGCCAACGTTATAACCTTATTCATTCTCATTTAAAGTCTTGTGAAGTAAGTTTATTACAATGAAGATTTCTTATGTAACTTTTATCAGTAAACCACAGCATTGATCTGTGGTTCAGAAAGTGCCTTTGCCAGAGGTCAGGAGTCAACAGGGGCAACATCTATTGTAGAGTGTGGTAGGTAAGAATATGGACTCTGGGCCCAAATGACTGGGCTGAATCCTGAGGCTGCCGCTTACAAACGGTGTGACTTTGGGCAAGGGGTAACCCCTCTGACCTCTCCTTCCTCATCTGTAAAATGAGGATAATGACACCTACCTAATAGGTTTTTTGTGAGGACTTAATGAGTTAATTTTTTTAAAGTTCTGGGAACACTGCTTTCCACACAGTTAGAGCCATGCTACCATTATCAGCATCCTCCCTGTTTGGGCTGAGGGTTTGAGAACCTTGAACTCACTTGACTGCAAAAAAAAAATAAATAAAATAAAATAAAATAAATTGCAAACTCTAGAGAACATTAACTATTGTGGGAAAGCTATTCTATACCATGCTTTTCCCTCCTTCTTTCAACCTGAGAACCTCCCAAAATTTCAAAACAATAAATGAATAAAAAATGATATCACTTTTTCTTTCTGGGTCTTGGTGAAAAGACCTCTTCTCTGCATTCCACCCTATTTTTTACTTATTTGCAGTTGCTCTAAAATCTCCAGAGATCACTTTTTTGCTGATTTCATAAACTCCTTATGCCAGTTACACTAAAGCCTGTCTCCAAATTCAAGGGACCAGAAAATGAGCCGGATCCTTGAGCTTTCGACACCTAGTGGCCAAAAGGAAGGACTGCAGGCTTATAGATAACCAAAGCAGTTGTCTATTTTCAACCACCTCCTTTATGCCCGGGCTCCAGGAACATAATGTGGCTAGGGGTTGGGAATGCCTGCTCAAGTCTGTCTTCAGGGCCCCTGACTTTCCCCTTCTTGAAGCTTTTCTCCGTATATCTCTCCACATCCATATTCACCACTGGTCCGTTCGCTTCACCACCATAATGCTGGTGAAGTTCATTTCTGGACTCCACCCTTTCTAAGTTCAATTATTCATGTTACATCCATTTTTTTCTACTTCAGCTGTGGAGGTCTGCTTATCTCACCACTAAATCTATCATCTGTGTTAGGTAGATCAGAGGAAGAGAAAGCATTTCTATTTGCAGCTAGATCTTCCTGTCCAATCACCTATGCACACATCCATCTACTCACTCAAAGGTCAGCATCCCAGCAGGGAGTTCTCACATTTTCCTTTGCCCAGTTTTCTACTCTTCTTGAACCACAGAGCACTCTTCCTGTTCTTCAACAAGCCAGACTTCCAAGTGCAGTCTCTAAACTGCATTCCAAAATCCCATGTTTGGAGAACACAGTCCTGACAATGCTGGGGACACACGGTATGCGATTCAATTGGTCATTCCTGATCTCAAGATCAGTGAACGGGATCACCCAGGGTGACTTACGTCCAACAGCTGCTACAAAAGAATTTACCTGGGGATTTCTCTGAAATGAGCCTAACTATTTGTATCAAGAATCCTCTAGATAAATAAACTTATTTTATTTAATTAACTGAAACATAGGAGTCAAAGTGAAACATCCTCAGTTCAAGAGCCTCGAACGGTCTGCTCAATATTGCCAGTCCAGGATATATTAAATAATATTTAAACTTATCTATTACTTCAGAGTTTGTAAGCCTCTCTTTTTATTATCCCCAAGGAGAGTTTCAGTTAATCATCCCAATTCTGGGAGCGAATGTGATAACAATAACAGTGACAATAGCAGCTAACATTTATAGAGCACTTACTACCTGCCAGGTCTTTACATATTGTAACTCATTTCTCTCTCTCTCTCTCTCTCTCTCTCTCTCTCTCTCTCTCTCTCTCTCTCACACACACACACACACACACACACACACACACACACACACAAATCCTATGAGGCCCTGGCCAGTGTGGCTCAGTTGGTTAGAGCATGGTCCCATACAGCAAAAGATGAGAGTTCAATTCCCGGTCAGGGCACATACCTAGGTTGTTGGTTCAAGCCCTGGTCAGGGCGCATATAGGAGGCAACTGATTGATGTTTCTCTCTCCCTTCCTCTCTCTCTAAAATCAATAAACATATTTTTTAAAAACCTTATGAGGTGGACACCATGTGATCCCTGCTTTATAGATGAGGAAGCCACAAAATAGGGATGAAAGGATCCTCTACCCCACAGGGACCCGGGAGACCTGGCTTTGAGACCTAACGCTCCTGCCCCTTGCTGGGTGAGCATGGCAGAGGCTTGCCTCTCCGTGCTGCCTAGTGAAGACTGGATGGGGAGTAGATAAGACGGTGCTCCATAAATTGCAACTGTAAAGTGACTGGCTGACAGCACTGTTGGGCTGAGAAGGGAGCAGAGATGGATGCAGGAGTTTAGCTGAGGCCCCGGCCTCCAAACCAGGACCACTAAAGGGCCCCTCAGAGGCATACACCTGGTTTCATGCCAGATGCGGGTTCCCTTTCCAGCCCTCCAGACCCCATTAGGAGGGTTCCTCAGAACAAGTCTAGTACTGCATAGGAACATGGAAGTTGAGATCTCTGTTCTTGGGCCCAAATTAGTTTCATTAGTGCTTGGAAGGTCCTCCAGAAATCTTGTATTATTAACCCATCATTGAAGGAAATTAAGGCCCAGAAATAGCATGCGTATTGTCCAAAGTCAGACAGCCAGGTCTCCTTAGTTGTGGACACTGTCTTTTCTGGTTAATGACACTGCCTTCTGCAGTATACACTTTGCCTTCCTTCTGCAGTATACACTTTGCCTTTTACATCTTCCCAAATCCTCAGCTCATGAAAACAGGAAAGCATTATCTGCACAGCCCTTCAGATGCTTGTTTGAATGCAAAAGAAGGCAAAGGCAATCTAGAAGTTGACAATGTCAATAACAGGACATGCTGGGGCAGGATAAGGATCAGTTGTTAGAAAACAGGTTTCCCACAGTGGAGTCCACGTGCACTCCCTCTACCCCAGGTCTGGCCATACCTGGGCCATTCAAGAGTGGCATGTGGATGAGACCCAGCGCATGCCAAAGACATCCTTGAAGGAAAAGAGAAGTCCCCAGATTTCAGTCTGGCCACCTACACTGTGTGGCCTACACATTCTTCATAGAACTTATCGATACTATCTTATTTATTCATTTTGCATGTTTATAAACAGTCTTATTGCAACTAAAGTTAAAGTCTGTGAGGGCCAGGACCCTGCTTATGATCATATTCACTGTATTAAAGTGGAGATTTGCACCTGGTAAATATCCATATGTGTTTGCATGAATGAATGAATAGATGGGTGGATGGATGGACAGAAGGAAGGCACAGAGGGAGGGAAGGAGGGAGAATAAAACAGAAGTTCAGTTCTACTGTCTTCAATCTGATAAATATAGTTGGGTTGGGGCACAGCTATACTTTCATTCATCACATTTTTATTAAACAGGTTATTATGTGCTAGGTACCATGCTAGGAAATACCACAGTGTGGAAGGTAGATAGGGTTTCTGCCCTCACAGACTATACCTTCTAGTAGGGACACAATTATATAGGTGATTATCATATGGTGTGATAAGTGCTATGATAAGGAAAATACAGGGCACTAAAGAAAGGCTCCCTGGAGGAAGTGACAACTAAACTGAACCTTGAAGACAAGTAGCAGTTAGCTGGGCGAACAGGGCATGGAGTGAGGCTGGGAGGTGGAGTATTCCAGACAAAGGGACCACGTGAGCATTCGGCCGCAGGAGCTGAAACAGGTTTGAAGCGCAGGGGTTTGAGCACCAGCCAAAGGAGCTACTTCCTTATTCTCCCCCAGCTACTCCCCAGGGGACATCTGTTGTTTTTCTCTGCCTAGGATCATCTAGTTCTCCTTCTAGAACAGCTTTCTGATTTTCTTTGAGGAAGTCCCCCAAATTCCTCTCCTCATTCTCAGTCCATGTGGTTGATGGGAAACTGACGCCAGTCTGCAGTCCTAGGGGTGGGTGTGAGATCCAGGCCTGGCCAATTAGTAACATCATGTTAATCTGGCCACAGACACGGGCTCTCAGGATTCCAGCCAGGCCAAAGGGAGACAGCCCTGGGCTTGACTGGAAAGCCTGGGAAGGGCAAGGTCTCCTTCCACTAGGGGGCGCCAAGCGGTTAGGAAGTGAGCGTGCAATGGGGCGGTGAGATTTATCTTTGCGACCACCCTGGAGAAACAGGATCATGAAAGCTGCACAGAGGAAAACAAAACCAAAAGAGGGAGAGAGGCTGACTTCCAAAGGTAGATGGATAGGTGGGTGGATGGACAGATGGAAAGAAGGCAGGAAGAAAGAAAGGAGGGAGGAAAAGTGAGAGAGAGAATAAAATAAAAGGGAGAAGGTACTGTTGTATTGCCTTTGATCTGCTATTTTGGAGGTGCCGCTTGTTGCAGAAGAGTGAGAGCACTGGGGTGCCAGCAGGACCCCCCACCCCAGGTCACTTGTTGACTGCACTGAGTCTTCCGTAGTTACCCAGAAATTCGCTTAAATTCAAGTATGTGGAGCTGCCTGCCGTGGACCCAGTGCTGCAAGAGGCACAGCAGCAGGCTGTGAACAGTCCAAGAGATGGTCTTTGAAGTGCCTTGTACATCCCTGATGTTCCCAGGGTGCTTACTGAAGCAGAGAAGGGAGGGGGGATATATGAATAAAAGAAAGAAACTTGTTTTGCCCACAAGGAGTTTAGAATCCGGGTAGGGAAACGAGTAAAGCGTGTGAAAGGATGATACAGCAGCCCAAGACTGAGTATGGTATGTGCTGGATAAGTAGCCTGGGAGAGAGGGAGTCTAGACCATGAGCCTGTGGGGGCTGCAGCCGGTGATCGATACACATTTGTTGAGTGAATAAATTTGTTGAGAGGGAGAGTGTGGGCATGCATGAGAGATTAATCAAGAGTTCAGAAAAAGGATGCCTCTGGGTGATCTTCTGTGATCAAGGGTGAGTTTTGAGCTTGGCACTTTGGTGGGAAGGAATTTAAGAAGCAAAGGGGAGGGGAGGAAGAGAAAGAGAATTCTCAATGGGAAAGAGAATGTGGAATTCCAGCAGAGCAAACCAATTACAGAAAAATATGGTGTGAGGTCCTGTTGTACCACCCACCAAATACATTTCTGCATCATAGCCAGTGTTCCCCATTCACTCACCGTCTTGGATTCTAACACCCATCCCAAGTCCAGTTAGATTTTGTCTCCAAGCAGATAGCAAGGTCAGTTCTCGGCCAAACTGCGGTGTTCTGCAACTATTTCCTGGAGACAGCAAGGGCATGCTCACCCCCGTCACCTCAGGTGATCCTCAGAACAGCGCTCCATATTGCAGGTGAGAATACTGAGCACCCACGAGCTACGCGCATGCCTAAGATCCCACAGGAAGCAAGGAGCAGGCTTTGGCTTCAGCATGTCCTTCTTGACTCTAAACCCACACTCCTTCCTTGGGCACTTTTGTGTCCATGATCCCACCACCCCAACTTTGTGTCTTCTGCTTTGATAGGTAACACATTCCCACAGCTGGAACTTTTAGAGAGTAATCATGTCCAGGGTCCCGTCCCAGATGTACAGAATGAGAAGCTGGAGTTGCAAATCATTATATCCCACCATAATGACCCACTGTTGCCCATGCACACGGCACAGCAAAGAGGCCCAGGGCCCTCTCAGACCTCTGGTTAGCCTCCCTCCAGCTCTGGGCACTCTTCAGAAAGGGGGTCCCGCCTCTAACGGCAGCAGATGTTGAGCAGGACTTACTGTATAGAGCTCATTGGTGACCTTCAGGAGCTCCTCGTGCATCTGCAGGCCAATCTCCTTGCTCTGGAATATGAAAGAGCAGATGTCAGACAGGAGAAGGTAGCTGGTTGCATTACATTTCCTTTTCAACACAACAAGGGCAGGAATGCTTGGGGTGCAGTGCAGTGGGAAGGGCTGCAGAAATCAACATACACCTCAGAATAGGTGTCCCTAATTCAATACTCATTAACATCTCATAAGAGAGGGGTTCCACAGAACACATTTTGAGAAATAATGATCTAGCATCTCAGTTCATCAGGAGTTGCACAGGTAAGTAGACAGCCCTCTGAATCAGTGCAGAAGATTAAGGTTCTAGCCTCCGCCATGTCACCAACTGGTCATGTGGCCTTGAAGACTTAGTTACCACATCTATAAAATAAAAAACTAAAGAAACTCTTCCCAAAGCATGCTTGGGGCGGGGAGTTGCCACACTAAAAATAGGGGGCAGGGGCTTCTGTGAAATACATTTGGGAAGAGCTAGTTAGGCAAAGTGAGACAGACTCTCTTACTGCAGAAGTTTAGAGGCTGTTATACCCTCAGGTGCATGACCTTTCTAAGGGGGAGTGTAGGTCAGCAGCCCCTGGACTCAGTGGTAGCTGGGGAGGGCTCACTACCAAGCTCCTTCTCCTCACCCACATCCTTCCTATCAGATTCTGGGCCTGGAATTGCCAAGGATCACTTGTCTGAAGGCAGTCCTTGTATACACCAGCTCTCTTAACAGAGAGCAAAAGCTCCGGGACGATTCCCAGAGATCTGCTGAGACCTTGCTCCAGCTCTGGTGACTAAAGAAAAGGAACCCAATCCAAAAGTACAGCAGAGCCTCAGTGAACCTTTCTGTGCAGGGCTCACAGGGAACCTTCAGTTTCATCCCATGCATCTACAGGGCTGCTCGATGAACCCAATTAACTACCCCCATTTCCTCCTATTCTCCCCGAGTCTCAGTCTGTGCCTCAGTTTCTCCCGTGGCCCTTCTCCCTGACATTTGTCCCACTGATGACTGGACTCTCTGACACCCACAGTGGCTCCTGTCAGTGCTCAGTCTCACCAGCATCTCTGATACCCAAGATCCAGTTTCTTCTGTGTTTATTTTCATGATCTCTTTTGAAGGTACTTAATGCACATGGTCATAGAAACCCTAACATCCAGTAAGGTAACCATGAAGTCTTCCAGGCTCCCAGACCCCTGCCCAGAGTCAGCTGCTATTCACAGTTTCTTCTGATACCTTCCAGAAACAGTTTATGGATACACAAGCATGCATTTGGATAGCATATGTTCTTTTTTAAACACAAATGGGAGTGTTCTATGTATACCTTTGCGTCTTGCTTCTTCTACCTAACAATATATCTGAGAGATTTTTCCTTCACAGCCCATGTAGCTCTTGCATCTTCCTTTTTTGACACCTTCTTGGGACTCTATATACCAGATGTGACATAATTAATTAACAAGCTACATAGTGATGGGCATTTAGATCGTCTACAGTCTCCTATTATTTCAAACAATGATGCGATGAACATCCTTGTGCTCTATCACTGTGCACATGGGCAGAAACCCCCGTCAGATAAATTCCTAGAAGCAGTTCTGCTGGGAAGACTCCTGCCTTCAAAATACCTACCAGCCTTGCCTTCTCAGCCCCTCCCCCAGCCGGCTCCCCACGCACTACTGACTCCAACTCCCACTTCTCGGCGACCAGCAGCCATGTCATCATCTCCACGGCCCTCTCCTGGGCTCCGTGCTGCAGGTCCATGAGCTCAAGCTCAGAGACCTATATTTTCAGCTGTTGCAAAACAGCATCGTCTGGATGTCCCCTCATCACATTGAACTCAAGTTACCCACAAATAAACTCCTGAACTTTCCTCCATCTCCTTGAGTTTAGTCAATGGGATAATATCTTCCCAGGCATGGCAAGTGGAAAATGTGGAGTTATTTTTGACACTTTAAAAATATCCCTCTTCCCCTGTCCACTCTGTCACTGCCACCTGCCTTCTAACGGCCCAGTCCTTTGTTCTCAGTGGCAGGTGATGCTGGTTCCCTCCCCACCCGCCATCTTGCCCTTCCAGCTTCCTAACAGAGCTGTGAATTTGGCTCTGCACTCAACCCTCCAGCTGACTTCTTCCAAGGACACTGACCCCACCCCACTTTGAGATGAGAGATTCTGATCTGTGTTGTTAGCCCAGGGGTATGTGACTTAACTGGATGGAAGAGAAGGATTTGCATGGTTAAGAGGAAGGTTTTAGTTTTCCTTTGACCCCAGCTGCTACCAGCACACATCTTAGGACCATAAAAGGAAGCAGCCTTGGGTGGCAGAACAAAAAAAAAATCCTGGCTTCTTAATGACTTCCTGAGAAACTGGTTGAATTGAACCCAAAGCCCTCCTCCCAGTGAACATCCACTTCTGTGGCCTTATTGGCTAAGCCACTTTAAGCTGGGGTTGTCACTTGCAGCCGAAAGCATCCTAAAAGATAGGTTTCCCACTGCCAGTTCCAGAACAAGCATGTCATCATTGCAGGACCCAGATTACTGAAGCTGCCCCTTCACCAAGTCCCCGGCTCTTGTCCCCAAGTCTGTATGCCTGTGCCCATGTAACTTCCTAGAAATGTATTTCATTGCGTCCCTCCAAAGTTTCCTCAAAGCCTACAGGATCAAGATCCAGCTCTTCAGCTGGACTTTCAAGGCTCTGGGCAACTCAGGCTGACTAGCCTGGTCAGACAGTAGAGAGGGCTGCATTTTGGAGCCACAGATACAGGAACTGGAAATAGGGGTTTAAACCATTTAACCTCTCAGCACATCAGCTACCCGATCTGTAAAATAACACTTATTTTCTTTGCACCTATAAAGGGAAGTGTAATGATCATGCTTGCTTATCTATTTATTTATTTGTCATTTGTTTCCCCCACTTAAATGTAAACCCATGAGAGGAACAACTTTCTCTCTGGTGGTAGATCATCAGCTCCCCAAGTTGCTAGGAGGTCTGGCAGCTGCCAACCCCTAGCCAAGAGCACCCTCCAGGGATAGCCTCAGAGGACAAGGTGACATACCTTCCAAAGACTGACACCTCATCCAAAGGTGGATCTGTGCGGAGCACAGGGGCCCGCCCTTCCTGCCTCAACTTGCCCAGTGCTGAACTGCCGCTCTGCCTACAACAGCCCATCAGGCTGCCAGGAATTCGGTAAGGCGTCATGGCTCACCTTCACCACGCTTCTTCCCTCCCGTCCCCTCCCCAGGCATGGATCTCAAGAATGATTCCTAATTATTCTGCTAGATGCTAAATTTAGGTGTCAGAGTTGGCTTTCCAGGGTACCCAGTCTTCAACACCTCGCTTCCCCTGCCCTCCCTGCAATGCCACAAAGCCTGTCACGTAGTGGGTGCTCAACTGTTGAATAAATCTATGAGCAAATGAAATGACAGCTCCTCTAAGCCTCAGTCTCCTTATCTGTATAAGTGAGATGATGTCATGGGTGTCATGGAGTCCCTATGAGGGTGAAAAGAGATATCACATGTGGCAGCACCTGGCATCAGTGAAGAGCTTGGGAAATAGTAGTATAAGTTGGATCAACATCCACTGATGCCAGGGACCGGCTAGGAAATTGCCCAGAAAAGGAAATACAAGTTGAATTTTTTTATTAGGTTGTCCCTTAAGGATCTCCCAGTTTGTCAGGATCGGGAGTTAAGAACCAAATAATTGTAAGGTGGGAGGTAGAAAGGCCTGCACAAGAGTGAAAGATGAGGGGATGTGGGGTGAAGTGATGAAGAGGAAGCAGGGGCTGCCACCAGAGCCATCTCAGCTTGCATGAATGGACAGACACGATATTCTAGGAAGGGGACAGAGCCTGATCAAAGGCAGAAACTGGCCGTTGGGAAAAGCTTGGTTTGAACAGAGAGAAGCACAGCAACAGAGGAATGAAGAGCAGCTTGAAATGGAGCCTGAGCCAGGGCACACGGGCTTATGTAGTACAGGCTTCATTCAGAGAGGAACTGGGAGCCTCTGAAGGCTCTTAGGCAGGCGAGTACAATGATCAGAGCTGTGCCTCTTCAGGAAGACGAAGACGGGGTGTGTACGGAGGATGGATTGGATGGGGGGTGGGGAGCTGGAGGTCCGGTTCTGTGTTTCCTCGATGGCCCGGTAAGCCACCAGACGGAATCCGCCTGCGTCTCTGCTCATCTCCTTCTCAGCACCAAGCATGGGGCTGGCCACAGAGTGAGTGCTCAGCAAATAGTTACTAAACTGCAAGGACTCAAAGGAATTTTATTTTGTTATGGTTGGGGTTGGTTGGAAGGGAAATATTCTCAACTACAGTTCCAGAAACTACTGAATGAAGAACCCAAACCAAACATTCCACCAGGAACAGGAGGCCAAACCCCTGATAATCTCTAGCAGACCATCACACCCAGCCCTTGGGGACCAAGTGGCAACATATTAGCACTCTTTGTTCACATTTCTCACATGACTTTCGTGCCTGCAGAGGTCAGGGGTGGTAGGCTGCTTCCTTCAAGCACAGGAAGTATGTGGACTGAACAAAATGATTATATTGGACCAAGGAGGGCTCAGCCATGGCAATGTGGTTCTTTGAAGTTGAAAGGGTCCAGCACTGTCTGCCTGACCCAAATAAGTTTGTAAAACCAGGTGGCAGGTGGCCCCAGACCTGTTTTTTTCCTCTACCCTCAGCTAATGCTTTAATGGGGGGTGAGGGCTGTCCTGGGCATTGTACGATGCCTAGCATCATCTCTGGCCTCGAACCACTAGATACCAGTAGCATTCCCCACCCCGCCGTGAGTTGTGACAACAAAAATTATCTCCAGACATGGCCAGATGGCCTGTGGGGGACAAAGTCATCCTGGGTGAGAACCATTCCCTACACCAAGAGCTCCAAGTGGCAGCTTCTCTGGCCTGCAGACAAGTTTTATTTGGCCATTCAGTGTTTTAAGATAATCTGATTCTTTCCCCAGCTTTTATAAATCAGGAAATTCCCCTTATATGTGCAGATTTTCTGCTTCTCCTGAAAAACTAGAAGATCCAGCCATACTGG